GGCCACTAGTTGGACAAAACTGCATTAGCTTAATATACAAAACAAAATCAATTAAAAAATTAATGGATATATGTAAAATAAAATAGTTGGCGTAAGACACGAAACAACAACCAATTTGCCCTTTGAGTTGAAAACAAATATAATTGGGTAACAAAAAAAAAAATTATAGCCAATATTTCCCCTTTTTTTGCCAAATAAAAATGGATGCTAAATAGATGAGGAATATAATATATGCCCAGGCTGCCAATAGAAGAGAGCTAATGCTTGAAAAAACATGTAAGGCGCTTCTCAGTGGTTGGTGTAGTCAGTGGTTGGTGTAGTAAGGGGTTGGTGTAGTCAGTAGTTGGTGTAGTCTGGGGTTGGTGTAGTCAGTGGTTGGTGTAGTCTGGGGTTGGTGTAGTCAGTGGTTGGTGTAGTCAGTGGTTGGTGTAGTCAGTAGTTGGTGTAGTCAGTGGTTGGTGTAGTCAGTGGTTGGTGTAGTCAGTGGTTGGTGTAGTCAGTAGTTGGTGTAGTCTGGGGTTGGTGTAGTCAGTGGTTGGTGTAGTCAGTGGTTGGTGTAGTCAGTGGTTGGTGTAGTCAGTGGTTGGTGTAGTCAGTAGTTGGTGTAGTCAGTAGTTGGTGTAGTCAGTAGTTGGTGTAGTCTGGGGTTGGTGTAGTCTGGGGTTGGTGTAGTCAGTGGTTGGTGTAGTCAGTGGTTGGTGTAGTCAGTGGTTGGTGTAGTCAGTGGTTGGTGTAGTCAGTGGTTGGTGTAGTCAGTAGTTGGTGTAGTCAGTAGTTGGTGTAGTCTGGGGTTGGTGTAGTCAGTGGTTGGTGTAGTCAGTAGTTGGTGTAGTCAGTAGTTGGTGTAGTCTGGGGTTGGTGTAGTCAGTGGTTGGTGTAGTCAGTGGTTGGTGTAGTCAGTAGTTGGTGTAGTCAGTAGTTGGTGTAGTCTGGGGTTGGTGTAGTCAGTGGTTGGTGTAGTCAGTGGTTGGTGTAGTCAGTGGTTGGTGTAGTCAGTGGTTGGTGTAGTCAGTGGTTGGTGTAGTCAGTGGTTGGTGTAGTCAGGGGTTGGTGTAGTCAGTAGTTGGTGTAGTCAGGGGGTTGGTGTAGTCTGGGGTTGGTGTAGTCAGTAGTTGGTGTAGTCAGTGGTTGGTGTAGTCAGGGGGTTGGTGTAGTTTCTTTAGTGCTGTATGAAAGGGTTGATGTAGTCAGTGGTTGGTGTGTAGTCAGTGAATGGTGTATTTTCTCTCAGTGCGTTAGCCAATCAGTGGTCAGTGTAGTTGGTGTTTGATGTAGTTGTTTGGTGTAGTTCCTCTCAGTCAGTGTGTGATTACAAATGATGCTCAATAGTCTATGCTCATCAAAAAAATATTTTTCAACCTTAATATTTTTTTTCCCTTAAAAAAGTTTTTTTTTTAAATTTGATAAAATAAAAAAATACATTAACAGTTCATTTTCTTTCTAAGTTAACCTTTTATCTTGCAATGCTAGTTTTATAAAAAAGAATTAAATTAAAAGTGTGTATAGAATAATATATATTTAAAAATTTCACATTTCAACTTTTTTTAACCAGACTAAACATGTTGTTAACAGCATTAAAATTAAATGTAAATTTTAAAAAATTCAGACTTAAGCTTTTTCTTATTATAATAAAATGTATAAATACAACACTGTTCTCCATTGGTAAGAGCGAATTGGCTGTGCTATTTTAAAAGATTAACTATACTGACTTTTTAATGAAAAAGATTATTATTTTTAAACTAGATTAATAGGAAAAAAAGATCACTTTTTTAAAAAGATTTTTACAACCAAAGGATAATTTTTGGACATAAAAATTAAACTTATATTAATATACAGTCAAATTTACAGGAATGCAAGTCATAAATTTTTAGCATGTCTTCATATATTGATATAATACACATACGCAAGCATTCAAATGTAGAGGATTATAATCTCTTATTAGGCTAGCATACAAATAGAAATCTTAAGAAAAAAATGCTAATCAAGATTACAATGATTTGTAAATGTGAACAATTTTACTAGACAAGCATACAATAATTTGTAAATGTGAACATTTTTACTAGACAAGCATACAATACTTTGTAAATGTGAATGTTTTTACTAGCGCAGCATACAATAATTTGTAAATGTGAACATTTTTTTTAGTAAACAAGCATAAAATAATTTGTAAATGTTTATGAAGCTTTTCACTAGGCATTTGTTTGTTAAAAACATACAGGCAAACATACCTGAGAAGGGACTATGGTTCAAGACTAGCTTCAGGAAGTTCTTGGCGTGTTTAATATATTAAATGTGTTCAGGTGGTAGTGCATACGACTGCTAAAAAACTGGAGTTCAAATCCTGGGTTCGTGTTAGTTAAACATCCCTGAATCACGTTAGGGAAAGTAAAGGTGGCTGGACATAGAACTGACCATACTATCCTTTCATATATCAAGGTTACAAACACAGGTGAACTCTTCTTCACTCCATGAACCATCAGGGACTTTACTTATTTTACTTAAAATTTCTTGTAGCGCTGTATTAGCAACAACCTAAAGGACGATGAATATAACCTGCAGATAGTTAAACCTGTACCACAGAACTAAAAATTGGATATTAATTTATATATTTAGGTTTTCTTATGCGTTTAATGTCTTTATGATATCCACACAAGCTAGTATTTGTGTCACCCTACACATTAACAAAATCAAGATGCTTATATTTCTATAATAAAATACAAATCAGCTGCGACACTGGGCAGTAATTTGTCGTAGGAAATAAACAGCAAAATTCAAACTTAGTGCAGAATTAGCAGGGAAGAAACAATACAAAAAATTTAAATAAATCTGAGTTAGCAATGTGGCGAATTTAGTGAGCAGAAGCATTCTCCTCAAGAATATTTTGGTGGCAAAGAAATCAGCAAACAAGCAACAAACAATGTACAAAATGTTTAGGATGGCAGAGAATAAAAACAATTTTTACAAGGGTCACAGCAACTGCAGTTGGGAATGATGGGGTCCAAATTGATATTCGCAAAACCAAATTCAAAACAATTTTCTTTCCTTTGGGAGGACAAATTGGTATTTACAAAACCAAATTTAAAATAATTTCTTAAAGATGGGAGACCAAACTGATATTTAGTAAACAAAATTTGAAATATTTTCTTAGAAATGGATGGTCAGATTGGCATGTAGTAAACCAAATTTAAAATTCTTCACAAAGATGTGTGGGACACCAAACTGGTATGTAAGAAAACCAAAATTTAAAATATATTTTCTTTTAAATGGGAGGCAAAAAGGGTATTTACAAAACCATAAACAAATATTTAATAATGATTTGAGGCTAGACTGATATTTACAAAACAAAATAAAACATTTGTGTTAAAACAAGGATCCAAATTGATATATACATAACCAAATATAAAAATATTTTCTTGAAGATTTGAGGCCAAATTGGTATTTACAAAACCAAATATAATTTTTTTCATCATAGCAATTTCACAGCAAAAAGGAATTTTACACAAATATTGTCATTTCTTATTTTAGAAAAACTCAACATAAAATTACATAACTAGCTTCAGAAGTCTACATTTTTTTTAAAGATACATTTTTAGATAACATAAAAGAATAGATATTTAAAGCTGCCTTTGTTGTTTATATTCTCAAATAGACTGTGATTTGGTCAATGTCATTTCTGTATTACATCATTCAGTCATCAGGATTGTCATTTAGAAATATGAGTCTTGAGGGGATAGGTATTGTCACTTAATAACTGTCAATTCTATACTATTTAGTCATACATTTAGTAAATTGTCACAGTATAAATGCTTCTTTCATCTCATAATTTATGACCAAAAGTGGCAAGTTCTGACCAAGGGGAACAGGTGGATTAAGACTAAACAACTTTAAAACACATGCACTTTAAAATCTTCATAAACATAAGCAGGTGGAAGCTTTGTACATGCTTGTCTTCTGTAACCAATCAAATAACAGATATCTGAAATTGCAACCAATCAAATAATAGAAATCTGAAATTGGAACAAATCAAATTCTTGACAGATGAGCTTCTCAGCAGGCTTCAAGTACATGCAATAAAAAAATCAAATAACCCAATGGAATACGTCAAAAAAAAAAAAAAAAAATTATGGCATTTTGTAATAAACAGCTGTTCAATGAATGATACAGGACAGTTTGCTGCCCTAAGTGTCTATTAGTTGTGGACATTGCATTGATATCGTTAAACAAAGAAAACAAGACGTATCAGTTAATATGACTGACATTATGAACCGACTGAAATTTAGCCGGTTTGCAGGCTAAATAAAATAGATACCACAGATTAAAGTATTTTACACAGCACACCATCTAAAATTAGCCAGACAATAGGCTAAAAAAAATGTTCAATAAAAAAAAGCATTTTACAAAGCACATTGTTTCCAATTTAGCCAATCAGTTGACTAAAAAAAATGGGCACAAATAATTGAACTTTCGTAATTTTCGACCTGAAGTTTAGCCAGTCAACTAGCTAATGTAGAGTAAAAACAATTCTATTTAGCCTCAATAACCAGACTAGTCATTTATTTACTTCGTAGTAAAAATTTTTTTGTCAGAACAAATGCAATTTGTTTAGCATTTAGTGAGGTAGACAATGCATTTTTTTTCTGACTTTTTAAAAATCTGTTTTTTTTTAAAAATATTCCGTTAACTCAGAGGAAGAAAAAAAAATTATTAAAAAACTCTCTCAAACTAAAATGTTAGTCTTCTAAGATTCAAAATCTGTTCTTTTAATACTTTGTAACAGAGTAAAAACTACATTTTTACAAAGAATTCTCTAACTAAAATAAAAGTCTTCTAACTTTTACAAACTTTTGTTTAAATACTCAGTAAACAATTGAAGAGAATAAAGATTTTTTAAAAATATGGCCTCAACCTAAAATGTTAGTCTTTTGATGCTTAAAATCTTTTTTTAATACTCTGTAATAAGAATAAACTTAAGGAAAACCGGATTTTTAAAAAAAAAAAAAGTACTCTCTCAAACTAAAATGTTAAGCAAGGGAGATAATTACTCCAAGGGTAATAGAGGTAAATATATTTTAGAAATAATTTAGTTAAAAAAGGTTAGGACTGAAGATTGGGTAGAATAAAATTCTCATTCAGAGGTCTAAATCATGCATAACTCGGAGCAAGATTCCTGAAAAGTTAGCATTTGAGGCGGTATCACAGACAATTTATGTGTTAGAAAATGTTTTAGGGATATGAGGTTAAAACTGGAAAATATTTTTTTATGGGAAATTGTATAACGTATTTTAAAATTATATTTGTATAGTACCAGCAGGACAACTTTTCACCATCTGGTAAATTACAATTATTATTTTACTAAATGACTTATTTTTTAAAATATAAACGTTTCACATTTAAAGATAAAGTAAAACAAAAAAGTTAATCAAATAGTACAACATGCATTAAATATAATTTCTATGTAACACAAATGCTTAAAAAAACGTCTATAAAAAATAGAGGAAGATTTGCAATAAGACTATTAGATAAATGAACAAAACAGAGAATTAAACTCAAGGGGAGTGATGAGTTAGTTGCTTGCCATGTTGTGTAACAAAATGTGACAATTTCTCAACACCAGCCTTTGTGCTACAATGAGGATAAGAAGCCCACTCATCACAGAAACAAGGGAGGTAACTACCATAGACTAAAATAAAATATAGCTATATACAAATTATGTTAAAAATATTTATATGCTGCTCAGTTTAATTATAAATTATTTTCTCTTTAAAAAAATATAATAAATTAATCTGAAAAATTATGCAAAAAGTCAACAACTAAAAATTATAAAATGTATTTCTTTAGCAGAAGTAAAAATTTAAAAATTAATTGCCTTTATATGTACATTTAAAAATTTCAAATCACTTTAGTAAAACCTAAAGAAATTTAGCGAAAATAAGAACATAAAAATCCCGACACAACAGATAAAATCATTTTCACAGCAAACCAAAAGGGAGATAAATCCAAAGGAAATGATTGTTTTTAAAACTAAGCCTGAACCTGTGCTAGCTGTAGGGCTCGACGATATAGCCTGAATACTGGGAGCCGGAGGGAGCTGGAAGGTTACTGCTGCTGCTTGACAAGCTGATGTCCTCGTCAAATGATTCCCTGCTGAGGTTTAAAGGCTGGCTGATGGAGTGGTGGTCGTCCACTGACCACCTGCGTTCTATACCGCGACCAGCGAGGCCCATACATGATCCAGACAGAGGCCACGTATCCGTGGATCTCGTATCCTCCTCTTTATCAATGCAGACACTGCTGGATCGTTTTTTAACCGCAAGATCCAACGGCCGATCAAGGTTGTCTATTCGGCCACCTACATCCGCGCTGATGAAAAGGTTCAGGTTTGCACTATTGGCCACCTACATCACGTTATAACTTCGTATGACGGTGGTTCCAACGTGGACCTGTTTCACTCGTGGGGAGCAGGGAAAGAAAAACTTCTCTCCAAGCTACACGATTATAACGGACACCTAATGACGATGGCTTGGTGAAGTCGGAAGAGAAAGTAGACTGTTTCCTGTGTTTCATTAACTTGTGCTTGTACTGGGGGTACTCCGACTCGTAAGAAGACTCGCTTTCAACTGACGACGGGGGTGGGGGAGGCTCCAGAATCTGAGTCGAGCTTCGGCGTTTGGCTAAATTGAGCTGGGGCTCGAGCAGTAAGGAATTTTCAAACGGGGATATTTTAGAAATGGCTGACTTGGAGAAGGTCGCTGATGGACTAGATGATGGGTGAAACACACATGGACTCAACAAAGGAGGGGAGTCTTCGACTTTTATCATAGCCTTGACCGGCCTTAAAGGCTCGGCCGCAATCAAAGGCTTACCACTCAGGCCGACAATGACGGGTGAGGACGGGGAACTCGAGTAGGAAAACCTTTCCTCTTTAATGATGATCGATGGACTGAGAGACTGGGACGTTGTGGGCGACAGATCTTCCGTGCTGATGTACAAGCCAGACACACCTGGGATATCGTGCGGCAGGGAGGAGGATGATGGGAAGCCTAACATTTCTAGCACTCTTTGGGACATGCCTACTGCAGCGTTCTGCGTGGCTTGGTAGTCAGAACATTGCTTCATGTGCTGCCTCAGGGTGTCAATGATGTTGTTGCGCTGCTCTGTCAGACCACCTAGTAGATTGATCAGCTCGGAATTCTGGGACTGAAGTTTTCGGATTTCCTATTTCAATGAGAAAATAAAATATTTTTTTAGTGTGAGAAGAATGTTGATTTTTTATAATATCACATAAGAAAAGTGTAAAACTTTTTTAATGAATTACAAATTTTAAAAAAAAAGTAATTTAAAAATGGTATCTTAGATAGAAAGATTTATTTTTAAATGCATTTTTAAAAGAAATTCATTAAAAATGAATCGAATGGTGCATTATGCAACTGAGCCATTGAGTGGCAAGGTATCATGTTGTATTATTTATGCTGTTGCCAAAGAGCTCACCGGCTCAGCAGGAGGGGTGTGTGTGTGTGTGTAGTAAAGGGGGATAACTAGTCAAACCACACAATCAAAGCAAACACCATTTCCAATTGCAAGCAATTCAATCCCAGTAAATAACATTGTTAGTCCCTAGCTACACAATCAAACACTATTGCAGTCCATAGCTACAAAATTAGTCTTGAAGGAAAATTGTACCTAACACTAATCAATTCAATTAAACCTTACCTCAGGTAGCGCAATAAAAGACTAAATGAAGCTCTACATATACTATAGCTTTTCAAATGAGACCTAACATTGACCAGTGCAAAACAAGTGCTAAATTAAACCTAACCTTAAATAGTGCGATACATTCCAACACTAAATGAGACCAAACATTGACCAGTGCAAAACAAGTGCTAAATTAAACCTAACCTTAACTAGAGCAATACAAACCAAGACTAACTGAAACCTAGCATTGACCAGTACAACTCATGAGCTAAATTAAACCTTACCTCGACCAACATATCTTTACGCTTTTGTCCCTTCTCCCGTGACCGTCGGGCTGCTAACCGGTTTAGCTCTCGTCTCCGTGCTCTTTTAACCAGTTCTTCAGAAGTTAACTGCTGGACACACAGATAGAATATTCTTACATAGCTGCGTAATTTCTATGGAAATATTTGCCTACTTCAAAAGCACTGAGAGTTCGAATTATCATTTAAAAACAAAATTAAAAAAGAAAACCTTTATAATAAGATTTTTAAAAAAACTAAAAAAAAAAGAGAAAAAAAAAAACTTCATTCAGTTAAAGCATTGAACACGCATGAAATCTCTTACGCAATTAAAAGATAAACAGGTTTCTTAAATTCAATTTAAATATCAAATTCACAAAAAGTTTTATGCCAATCTCATTTTTGACAGTATTTTAAACAAAATTTCTAATTTACAAAAAGGTATATGCCAACCTAATTTTTGACAGGTTTCAAACTAGATGTCAAATTTACAAAAAGTTTTACCCCAACCTCATTTTTGACAGGTTTTTTAAACTAGGTTTCAAATTTACAAAAAAGTTTATGCCAACCTCATTTTTGACAGGTTTCAAACTAGATGTCAAATTTACAAAAAGTTTTACGCCAACCTTATTTTTGACAGGTTTTTAAAACTAGGTTTCAAATTTACAAAAAAGTCTATGCCAATCTCAATTTTAAACTAGATGTCAAATTTACAAAAAAGTCTATGCCAATCTCAATTTTAAACTAGATATCAAATTTACAAAAAAGTCTATGCCAATCTCAATTTTAAACTAGATATCAAATTTACAAAAAAGTCTATGCAAACCTCATCTTTGACAGGTTTTTTAAACTCAACCTGTAGCTCAGCTTTTCCTTCTGCCTTGCGCCGAGACTGAATGATCCACTTGAGGTCCTGTTTGATGAGGTTGCTGGGGTTGCCAGAGTCCAGGGTTGCCAGGGTGGCTACCACCAGTTTTTCATCCTGTCAACAAGTGAGAAATGGTTGGTCAATCATTAAATAAAAACTAAATTAAACATTAACCTTGTTTAACATGCACAATATACTTCCAAGGCTACAAAATTCAAATAGAAAATTTTTTTTTTTTATAAAATGTAATTATTAAAATAAAACAATTGTTTAGCGCTATATTTTATGTATGCAAACCATGTTAAATTTCTAAAACAAGCAAAAAAACAGAGAAACTAGGTTTTCTAAAAACAGAGAGGCTCTCACAAAACTGTTTCGATACATTTCTCTCCACAAAAGAGTGCTTTTACACCCGCGGTGCACAAGACACAAGATATCAGAGAAAACATTATGTAACACTAGGTGGCATCATTGATCGCATTGGTTTCTACTAGAAAAAAAAATATGTTCAATAGATAACAGCCACTTCAAGACCTGGTATCAATAGCTGTAGAAGTTTTTTTTTACCTCGTTATATCAATACCATATCAGTAGGTTAGTGCACAGAGATAAAGACTGCTCCACATCATGGCTGGGTTAATAGGAAAACCTAACGATGATGTCCATGGTTGGGTTCAAGGACTGACTAAAATTACTGCAGCTGATAACTTAGTTAACAAGAAAACTAAATGTTAATGGGAGCTGTTAGCCTCAATTAATTTTTAAAACTACAACTTTTTAAGAAACTAAAGATTATTTCTAACTTTTAAATGAAACTAATGATCATTCCTAACTTTTAAAGAAACTAATGATGAAAATTCAACCTTCTTTAAAAATGAAGAATCGTACAAAAACAGCTTTTAAGCTTAATTTTTAAAAAATTATTTTAAGAACTAAATTTATTCAGATTTTTAAAAAAGCAGTGCACTTAACTAATTAAATTAAAAAGCAAACAACAAAACAGTGTACAAAACAAACTAAATCAATTAACAGATCACACTGCACTAAATAAAATCAAACAACATCAAAATACTATGTACCATGACAAAAATAATTTTTAAAAATATTTTTAAAGTCAAACTGGTACTCCATAACATTTTTAAATATTTTAAATATTTTTTTTTGATAGAATGGTTTGAGAACTCTTGGGAAAACATGCTTTTGTATACAATACAGATGCCAGAAGGCAAGTTCTGGGTTCTGAAAAATATTATTCAAGCTTGCTCTAGTAATCATAAATTGTTTTAAGTGCTAAAATTTTTATTTTCTGCATCACACAAACAATAACCTCAATCTTTTAATTCTAGAAATAGCAAAGTATTTTTAATCATTTTTTTATTTAATCTCCAAGTGATCATCCAATTAAATTGTAAGCTTATCAAATTCATTTTGCCAAAATAACTATTTCTAATTTCATACTTCTAATTTTACTTTAATTGATACTGATTTTAAAAATAAATGTTACTATGATTCTATTAAAAAATGGGAAAGTAAGCATTTTAGCCATGCTCATCTTCATTTCACAATTCTTTATAATTTTGAACATGAATTCAAACTAGAGACTTTTAGCAGCCTAGCTCTCTACCATGCCATCCAATATACTTCTGGTCTAGTTGTTTTTCATAAATTCTATGAATTCTTTATTGCCCAAACATAACACTACACTAAAGCTCCACAAACAACACTTAGGTAAAAAATAAAAATAAACAGTGATATTTGTAAGATCACCTGTACCAAATTTCTGGAATTGAGCAGTCCGGACATGCTGCTGACCGATGACGTGGACACTTGGGGCCCCATGATGGCACTGTCGCAGGAGGTGCCGGTTGTGACAGTGTTGCCCATCATGGACACGTGGCCGGATGTGGAATGGGTGGTGACGGTGGTGGTCATGATGATGATGAGGAGTGGTGGCTGTAGCACCAGGCATCTGCTCAGGGAAGAGGTGTAGAAGATAGTCAATTTGGTCGGTTGGTGGGTGACTGTGTGTGGGGTAAGGGTGAAAGACAGTGACAAGTGACAGTGGGGTGGTGTATGACTGTGTATGTGACAGTATGATGTTGGGGTAGTGTGTGACAGTGGATGTATGTGATAGTTGGGTGCAATGTTCCCTCTCTAAGCTGCGCGGCCATGCAGTAAGTTTGACCCTGCAGCACAGTCCTTTTGTAAAATATATTTATGCTTGTATAAGACTTTTATAAACACCGCACACACAAAATGCAAGTTGCACACTAGCCTTTTCCCCTTAGAGGGAATGTTGGTTGGGTGGTGTGTGATGGTTGGTTGGTGATGGTTAGGTGGTGTGTGATGTGTGATGGTTGGTGTGTGATGTGTGATGGTTGGTGTGTGACGGTGTAGTAGTGTGTGAAGCATGGGTGGTGTGTGATGGTTGTGTGTGTGACGGTGTGAGGCATGGGTGGTGTGTGACTGTGGGGTGGTGTGTAATTTTGAATGTGAGCCTTCACAAAACAAAGGCTGGGAAAACTGGGTATGAAAATATCCCATTCATAACTTTAAAACTGTATACAAGAATATTAAGTACTGAAGACTGAAAAAACTACACAACTTAATTAAGAGTGATCCTTGTTTTCTGTAAATCCTGTTTTGTATGTGGCCAGTACAGTGAAAACAAAAATATTGGTTTTAAGTTTAAGGTCATTAATGAAACTAAGATTTTAAGTTTGAAATACACATTTTTTTTTTCATTCAGTCCATGATTTCTAGGATTATATTACATATATTTCTAAAAGGTAAAAAAAAGAGGTAATTATAAATCATTTTTCATAAAATCACATTTGATTAACAAATAAATTTGATATCAATATAGAAACTAATGCTCATTTTAAATTTATTGTACTGTGCGGCTAAGCCAGATGTAAGGAAAACTGTTATTTTGTTTCTATTATTTATACACTACTACAATTATGAAATCAGAAATAAGACAAAAAAAAAAAAAAACCAGGTTATTAAGTACTTTTCCACTAGTGTAATCCTTTTCATCACTTCAACCCTTGACCTTAACACTTGAGATGCTTCTAGTGGAGAAGTACAAAACTTTAAAAATAAAACATCAAAAACAGTAAAGAAATATTGAAATGACTAGGGTAGTTGTAGTTTAGGTACAATAATTTAAAATAGCAAAATCAAGTAATAGCTCAATTAAAAAAATGCTAAAAATGAGAAAGTCATATAAATAAATGTCTTAATATATATTTTTTTTCCAGTTTTAAGAAAAATCGTAAAAGTATAATTTAAAAATTAGGTTGCACTCTAAAAACCCAGACATTCTTTTGTTTTATAATTTAAAAAGCCATATTTAGCTTTGGAATAATATTGTTCTGAGGAATAGCTAATACCTTGAGCGCAAAAAAATCCCAACCCCCATTACACAACACGTAAGATTACAATACTACTAACAAACTAACACACATATGATTATATTAGAGTATATTGTCAGACATTTGTAATAGTTTTACTTTGCTTTGGGTAAAGCTTTGTTTAATCTTTACAAAGATGGTGGCAATATTTCTACTTTAGGGTTAGGATTGGGTAAAGTCTAGCTGTGAAGGTCATGTACCTTGGTGCTTGCAATAATCAGCAAATACAGGTGGGAAGAGGGTGCTTTATTATATTATATATTATTAAATCCACCACTTATAAATAAGTGGTGGTTTTCTTATATCAGTGTTTTATTTTTAAAAAAGGGTGTTAGGTTACTGATAGTGGTTGTTAACTAATGACACATATAACTTGCTAGTGTCAATACTAACCCAATCCCTAACCCCAAAACTTCATCCAGCTATAAAACTAGACAAGATTACAATACTATTTACAACCTAACACACTTATTTTCACAAGAGTCTATTATTGGACATTGCTATACTTAATCATCCAAATTAGCTTCAGCAAAAAAAAAATGCATAGATAACAGATAATAACTAAATGTTTTCTAGTTTACAATTTAGTAATACACAACAGGCTAATGATCAATTAACATTGTTGTTGCATAAAAAGAAACAATTTGATCTGAACTACTGCTAACAGACTACAGAGGGGAATGTATGTTAGGACTGAAAACTGTTTTACAGATAGCCTACATATGGGGGAAATGTTAGAGTATTCACAAGTTAGAACATTTGTGATCTAAATGTGACATAAACATCTAGTTGGCCTATATGGGGTAAGAATGTTAATACAGGAATGGTAGATCTTGTGGCATTCTACAGGGGTAGACATTTTAGTCCTGAGAGTTAGCCTAACACACCATCTGACCTAATAAACCAACCCTAACCTAGATATAGGCCAAGTAGTATAATTTAACTTTGTAATATTTCAGCCTGAAATAATCATAATAGATGTGAGAATAATTTCCATTTTCATTACATTTATTACAATGATACCAAATTCAAAATTGATGTTTCATGCTTTATTAGATATTTCCCCCAATTGTTTAAGATTAGCCGTTAGCCCTTTGAGGAGTGGTTGCCCAGCCAAATAGTGCCACATCGATGTATTTTTTTTAATTTTGAATAATTCAAAATTAAAATTTAAAACTCAAAATTTCAATATTCTAATTCTACTTATAATGTAGACTATCAAACAATGTGTTTTAATTAAATAAATATAGGGCTTTTATTTTTCATTTTTCAAAAAAAAATGTTCCAATTTATCTTTTTGCAACGGCTACGAACAATGCATTATCATTATGTAACCGCTGCAGCGGGTTGCATTGAGTTGATAATACATGCAATGGCTGTGCAGCGGCCCCATTAAATCCAGCTAGTCTAGACACTCCTCCGTTCCTCTGTACTAGTCATAAAAAAAAGTCGTGTAAAAAGTGGATTTGGGTTAGCAGTGCATAGCCACATCCTAAACATTACACTAACAGTTTCGCCGTGAGAGAGGAGGGCAAAGGGAAAGAGAGTGAAGAACACCACTTCGCGCCAGCTTAGATTATAAGGTCATTCATTCTGAAACATGAATTGAGCCTCCGCTTATTCGCATTCCGATCTTTACTCATTATCTAAAAATAGCCATGAGATAACTGGGACGAATGGTTCTGATTGGCTGACAACCAGTACCAGAGTGTCAATCACGTTTTTAGCAACGACATGTCGTTCAGCCGGGGAGAGACGGGCTGAACTGAATACGGATTGAGGTTACAGTAAACCGTTGTAAATAAAAACAAAAAATGAATGGGAATGTGTTTGTTTTGATGTAATGAAAGTACATAGTCATAGCCACATGTGTTAGAGATGTGAGGACGAATGGGGAATAGAAATGCTAAATTTATCGATGATACGTGGGAACAGAAAGTGATCTCCCCTTTCCACTACATCGTGTGGCCTTGCGCCGTAGTAGTACGTAGCGGAGTGTGCGAGGACAGCGGGGTCGACACCACAGCGAACGTACTGCGTAATTTTGGGGACGCTTCCAAGTATTTGTCCGTAAATAATGAACAGTACTTACCAATGCTATTATCACGAGGTGTCTAACCAAGAATTAAACCGATTGCAACGTAAATTTTGCAGATAACATGGTTTCTTTGCACTGAAACGACGCCAGACACCTTTCCACGAATCACTAGGTGGCCACGCTAAGGGAGAGCAATCTAGTCGACGTTTTTTTTTTCTTAACAGTAAACGAAAACAAACCCAATGGTGTGGCTTGCATTCAAATTTCAAAGGCCAATCCTATAAACGAAGAAATGCTTTAGCACATTTCCTGCTTTAAGAATTTGAATTGAAATATAACTTTTATATATAGCCTATAAAGATCTGTTACTTTGTTAAAATGTGTATTTAAATAAATAAATAAAATACTTTAAGTTTAGCTTTATTTAACTTTTTCGGTCAACAAAAATGAAAATTAAATTAGGCCCTACGTCACTATTTAGACTGGATTGAAGACACATCCGTTGTAACCTTTCCCTCTATTTTTGCTTCACAACTCTCCCCACCTCTTACCCAAATATGAAAAAATAAATGGTGTGTGTCTAAGCACTTTTTCGATCTAAAAACAATAACTTGACACACATGTGACCCAATAAGAACATGTGTAACCTTAATCTCATATATAAAAAGCCTAACTATTAATAAGACAACGGATTTGACTTTTGTTTCCAAAACAACAAAAATAAATTAATACGCCTCAACTCGCAGTCCCTAATCTCAGTTATTTTTCTCCGCCTCACTCCGTTTATTATTTTATTTGTGGAGACTCTTAGTTGTATTTTATTTTAACAGTTTAAATAAAAGTAGCTAATGTATAATTTTTTTTTATTTGAGGTATTAATATTTATTAATTTCAAACTATACGCATTTTTAAAAAGATAACATTAATAAGACCAGCTTTTATATTTTAAAAAGTATCTAGAGCTAGGCGAATGCCAAAAATTTAAACATAAAATAAATAGGCCTTGATGTTAAAAATAAGCTTGTTACAAGGGAGACTATGACACACCGAACATTTTACATTTGGATATAAACTTGGTTACCTCCCTTTGTACTCTTTTAATAAAGATTTCAATTAATAGTAAGGTTCTACTAACTTTAAAAATTACGACACACAGCGTAATATAATTTATAGAGAAAATACATACTCCGCCCCCCCCCTGCCACCGAAAATTTCAAGTCCCCCCCCCCCCCCCCGGAAAAAAGTCTAGAAGAAGAAACAACACCCGTTGTGAAAAAGAATAGAAAAAAGGGTTGGGGGGGGGGGGGGGGAGTGATGGGCTATTTGTGCCAATTAGCTTGAAGGTGTTAGTGTGTGTGTGCGGAGGGGGGGGGGGGGGAGTATGGAGGGCTCTTTAAAAACCTAAACAAAATACATAAATAAAATAAGCTTAAAAGATAAAACAAATAGGGCCTATAAAAACCTTTACAGAAATAAGTTTTTAAATCCACTGAATTTAAAAAACAAAAAACAAAGTTGCTTTCTTTTAATAAAAACGTAAAATGTCTTACACAGTTTAGCAACCAATATTTTTACTACAGGGAAAAGTTTGTTTCATTTTCTTATTTTCAGTCGTCATTTATTACATTTTAATGGGAATGTTTTTCAAATATTTGTTTCATTTTTAAGATCCGTTTCGCAATGCTCCAAGTTACTTACGCACATACACGTACCCTTGCTTAATGCGTTATCTTTAAGCACATGTGATCTAGGCCCAATTACGAAACCGTCTCAACATATTGCGTTTGGCGTGACGTCACACACGCTACTTTCGATGACCTAGGCAAATGTGGAACCTATTGCGTAATAACTGGAGCCCGTCTCGCGCGTATGTTAACCGTCCTGTTCATTCAACCGTGAACGGGTTTGAGATTTTTGTATTTTTTTACTTATTCTGTTATATGGGCAAGTTTGAACCGAAATTGTATACAGCAACAGTCGATTCGCTTGACTGCGGGCAACTATGGTCCATAAATGACGTCACGCAACGCAACTGAAAATGAGGCGTTGGGTGCAGGGGGAAAAAAAGGGGAGGGGGTCAATATCTGCAGTTTGTGCTATAAATAACATCCGTTCCAGTTTTAACCCAGTGACGATTTTCAATTTGCGATTTGGATAAATTATAAATCTCTGTCGTTTATTTCTTTAGCAGTTTTTCGCGTTCGTACAACGGTCACGCGAGGTAGGTGGAGGAGAGTTCATCTGTTTCAATTATAAAAGACATATATGGGGATATTTTGGTCAGCGTAATGCCCAGCCGCATTAAGTTTCCGTAATGTGAGCCTGGAGCCAATAAGAGTTGGATGAACGGTGTGTAGAGCTGAGCCCTAGGTCTGAACACGAGATATTTGGGTTTTTTTTGTTGTATGCTCTACCATCAGAGCATAGTGATACATAAATAGGACGGGGCGGTGAGGGGGGGGGGGCAATAAATTCAGGACTCGTAGTCGTCACCAAGTCAGAAACCAACCGCCTGGCTGTCAACCACCCACCAGCCAACCCACTTGCCGTCAACCACCCACCAGTCAACCCACTTGCCGTCAACCACCTAGCTGTCAACCCACTTGCCGTCAACCACCCACTACACTAGCCGTCAACCCACTTGCCGTCAACCACCCACTCATTTGCCGTCAACCACCCACCAGTCAACCCACTTGCCGTCAACCACCTAGCTGTCAACCCACTTGCCGTCAACCACCTAGCTGTCAACCCATTTGCCGTCAACCACCTAGCTGTCAACCCATTTGCCGTCAACCACCTAGCTGTCAACCCACTTGCCGTCAACCACCCAACACCCAGCCCACTTGTCCAGAGTTTCTTTCAGGCATCTCTTTCCCCAATGAAATGGAATTTATATAGAAAACATACTTTTACTATTTACTTTTACTATTTTTACCATTGTCCGCCCCGTCCTCCCGGATTGTTGTCCGCCAACCCCCCCCCCCCCCCCCCCCCCCCCCCCCCCCCGTAGAAAAAAGTCTGGAAGAAACACTTTGCGTCAACCTACCGACCGAAAAACCAAACTGTTAAGGAAAATGTTACTGGTAAATGGTAAAGAGCCCCGACTTTTCCAAACGGAGGGGGGGGGGGGGGGCTGTTTCTGACGCTGGGGGGGGGGGGGGGGGGGGGGGCTAAAATTGTTAGTTCGCTCTGGTCACAGGAAAAGTTCGCCACGCCCATCCATTTGTAACCACGTGATACACACTACCTATTTTATACTACTGAATTCGATGTGTGTGATTCACACTATACAAAATATTACCAACATCACGTGGTACACATCACGTGACACATTGCCTCTTGCAGACGACACTACAGACTAGATTGCTTATACCTACTTTTTCTAATAAAGATCTTGTATTCACGCGTACTTGGCATTGAAACCTTTCAACATATTCCCATTGTAAGCCTTTGAAATGGTTTCATTCAATCTATTCACTATATTTACGCTGTTTGCATTGACTAAGTAGGCCTAGTCTAGATGTTTTATATTCATATCGATTTTTCTAAAACCATAAGAACTTTTATAAAATTGATTGGAATTTTTTTTTTTAAACCATTGATATTATTGACCAAAACGATTGAGGTAAATTTCTAAACAGGGCTTAGTTCTTTCCCTTAGAATAGATTTTCAATTGAATATTTTAATATAAAACTGGGTTATTGTTCCTGACTTGAATTCTTTTTTTTTCCTTTCTTTTCAAATATCAACCTAAAGTTGTAAAATGTTAAAATAGCCAAACCTAACCATATTTTTTAAAATATAGATTTACATATCCTGGCATTCCTTTTCATGTAATCTACTATTTTAAAACAAAAGCAAAAATAACAAATAAAATAAAAAGTTAAAACACACAATTGAGTTTAATGGAGCAGATAAGGTATGATACATCATCTGCCTCTGTGGCCTGAGAAGAAACTATGTTGTCAGTGCTGTGTCCAGCTAACTAGTTCATTCACTCTTCCCTTCTCCCTGCCTCTGACAGTAACAAAAGGGTTCTTATAGGGATTTGAACACAATCCAAATATGTTCTAATCAGTTCTAATGCTCTACCACACTTCTATATGGATAATATATAACTTCTGTTCACACAAAAGTGTATTGATTAGTTTTAAAGATGTTATTAAACATCAAAATTATTTTAAATTATGCAATAAGTTTTTAAAGTGTACCATCATACATTCTTTTTCTTCTTCGTTCTTAATTTTAGTGTTGGAAGGGATCCCGTCCAACACAATTAAGTATACGTGTCAAATGACTATGGGCCATTGACTCCGATTTCAGCCTGCTTTTCTTTTTGAATTTGCTTCCATAGCCTTCGTCCAACCAAGAACAAACTACAAGGCAGCAGTAGTTTTGATTTTGGAGTTTTCTCTCCTAGAAGAGTGGCTGTCCCCAGCTAACGAGCCTCATGTGCCTGAGGATTTGAGACTTTTCAGTTTAGCAACCATGAGCTTTACCAACTCGACCACGCCAACCCTTATCATACATTCAATATAGATCTTCATTTCATGAAAACCTTTATCTATTGTTTTCAATTCATTCCAATATAAATTGCTGAATGTTGTGGAGATGACAGGTGGCGTTGGGGGAGTTTTAACTTATAATACCTCCCCCCCTCCCCTGATTAAGGCCTTTAAATGCGACTCCCTTTTATGCACTGAAAAAGATCAGTTTTACAGGAAAAATAAAAAAACCAACCAGTGACAATGATATTATACAACAAAAAATGATTTATTTGATAAGATACCAACAACACTAATCATTTCAGCTAACATGAATCATCATTTGAAATCACAGTATAAAAACAATAATTACCAGTAATCAACATGTCATGCATAAAACAAACAGATTGTGTATATCAGTGATCATAGTCTATCTATGTCTATACATGTCATATTTTCAAGAACAAATTCTTTGCAATATGAATTATTTTTTTAAGTAAATTTCCTTTATCAAAATTTGAGCAATTAAACAAGGTTAGACTACTGCCATTTATTTACAATAACAAAACCACATAACCTATGATAAGAACATAAAAATGAGTACATTTTTTAAAATAACAGAACAAAATAGTGTAACAAAACAGAATTTAACAAATTCAAGTATCACATTTTACTAATAAATAAAGACATCTTAACATTATATAAAACATAAAACAAGTCAACATAGCAAAGTATAGGAATACAATCCTACAAAACAAGATGTATAGAAAAATAAAACCTAAACTGCCATAACAAAAATAACCCTATCAGATATAACAATAATTAACAAAACAACTGAGAACATTAAATGAGCACATAAAAACTTAATCTCAACTATTAAAACCACTAGTATTTTTTCTGCCTAAAAAAATCATTGAATTCACCTAAAAATGCATATGTAAAAATCTTTTAAATTTTAAAGCTCATGATTGAAGAGCAGATGTCAGTTAATAACAAGAGTCAGTTACGAACAAGTATCAGTTAATGACATATGTTCTTCTCGTCATTCGTTAAGATAAAAATATATAAATAATTAGCGCATGTTAATAAACCTATGTTATGGTATTTAGTTGCTCTTTGGCTGACTGCATAGGTTAATAAATATTACCACCATACAATCAGGTAAATATAAAAAATTATGTTTTAAAAAACATTATTCTAAGCTTTTTAATTTATTTAAAAATACACTTTTTTAAAAGGACAAATAAGATGGCAGTAAAAAATAAATCTACACTGCTGCAGCATCAAACTTAAATGTTTCTTTTTCTCATAATCGTTCTTCAAAAATTTCACTCCACATTTAGCAAATACCTGAAAAATTTCATTACAAAAAAGTTTTGAATGAAAAAAACAATTTAAGCATAGAAGGATCAGCAGGGATGGTAATTTCCTACATTGTTGATATACATTTTGAAGTAAATACAAAAATAGTGATTACAAAAATGAATTCTATTTTTATATTTTTAAAGCAACAAAGAGGCTGCTAAAATTTATAAAAATAATTACATTTTTCTACATTCATTTTAAAATACCATTATTACAGATTTTTTTTTCAATTAATGCCATGAATGAAAACACTTTATACAAATTTTTAAAAATTACCAAGAAAAAAAATTTACAGTAAATGACATTGTCATGGAAACAAACTCAAGATGTGGATTAAAACAGAGGCATACTTTTCTGTTTCATCAAAATTGGGCTAATCGTAAACAAATTAAACCTTAGTTGATTGTTAATAGACCTCAAGAAAAACTGTTTGATTTAAACAGGAAATATTCATTTATTCTAAAGAAGCGGAATTGTTTTTCATAACAATTTTTTTTTTTAAATGAAAAAAAGAAGAATTGATTTGTTTCATATTTTAAAACATTTTTTTTTCCATTTAAATTACCTGACAGATCTAACCTTCCACAACTTTATTTTAATTTTAAATTTTCAAATAATATTCCAGCATTTCAAAGGATTAAGAATTTACTCTAGAATTTCTTTAATGATTTAAAACTCTTATTGTTAAATCATTTTATTGTTTAATTCACAATAATTATTTTATGATCTCCCCCTAAAAAAGCCGTTAGATTTTGAGGAGTGTTTCTAGCTGACTGAAGGCACTTTAATTCAGTCCCAAAGTATTTTTTTCTGCTTTGTGTACTTTTCTACTTGACATGAATTCACCAGCCACACCCCCTTTGGTCTGTTAAACCCAGGTATAAAAAAAAAACTAGACCATAGAACTACTGGTACACAGTTTTGTTAAAATATGTTACCTTTGTCATGTAGGTGACTCAAAGGGTTAATCATTCAAATATTCATAACTGTACACATGTTATCTTGTAATAATTTTTTTTTGGGTTTTCCAAAAATTTAGCTTTAAAAAAAATTACACAAGTACAAAGTAGATGAAAATTTAGACAAAATATGTGTGAAGTTTAAAAAAAAAAAGCAACCAACAAAAATGTGTGAAGTTAAAAACAAATATGTGTGGGTGGTTGTCATAACATCACATGTCGTGGCTGAACACTGGGAAATCCAGTTCACCTGTGTCCTTGCTTGTTAGGTCATAATTAGTATAACATATATCTTATGACCCAATGATGATTAAGACATTATAGAATATAGGTCAAACACAGGAACATTGATTTAACAATCTAACTTGTAGTTAAAGATAAATATCTTTATACAAGGAGTGGTTATCAAAGTATTTTGACAAGATGACGCTCTTTTATCCAACTTAAAGAATATTTGCTGGATGGCGGATAGTCAATTGTGGTGCTTTAAACAATATGTGTCATTTAATATTTTAAGAACTATACATGTCATGCAATATTTAAAGTAGTACACATGACATGAGGTAGTGCATACAGTGTTACATGTAGCACAATGTCATGTGGTATTCAAGCAATACACATGTCATTCAATAGAAATGTCATTAAGTACCCATGAAGTACTATGCAAGACAAGCAGTACTTACTTCAAGCAGTAAGACATAAGCCATATGGAACTTGTATACTTTCAAAATATATTTAGTATAATCTAGTGCCCTTTTTAAACAGTAAGAAGACTATAACTATAACTCATTCCAAATGTATGGTATGTCTATTTTCTTGTGTACTTACACTCTAAACTGACTCATTTCTAAATGTACACTTATTAATTTAGCACTTGTGAAAATGTCCCCTTTATAAATTGTGCACGTCTTTGTATGTATGTACTAGATTTATGTACTATGTACTATGTAGCGTACATAATTTATTACTTTAATACAAAATATTGAAAGTAGATCTAGATCTATCTGAATGTACAACATCTGTTGAGAACTCAATCTAGCTGCAATAAAACATTTTTGAGCATATATCTAATTGTGCACATAAGAACAGTTAAAGCTGTACTCATCATAGTACTATTATTCTGATGATTAGGCCTAAATCAAAGAAAAACACCAAAGTACTATTTGTAATTTCAAAAAATAAGATTGTTTCGTTTATTTCTTGAGGTCACAAATAGTAAATGTGTGTTTTTGTATTTTATTAGTGCCTTGCTACGCTTACTTAGATCTATTTATAGCATGTACGTGTTGATATTGTACATATCTTTTTGATCTAATCAACCTATGGGAGTAGATTTTTTCAGTAGCTCGCTTTTTCAGCGTGGGTATTTTGGTAATTTAGGTCAGAGGTCATGAGATGACTCGGCAATCGGTTAACTTACGAAGCGGGGACGTCAAGACATACAGCTGTCTATCAACAGGAAATCCTCGTCTAGGTCCGTGGTCTCGCACATCTCCGACGAAGAAGAGTTCGTGTGGATCCGTGAATACTCGGAAATCACTCGGTGACTGTGGGCGGAGTCGCTGAGTGATGCATGTTCCGAGGAGGTGGAACCAAAGGGGGAGGTGGACCCGATACTGGAGCAAGAGTCTATATGGATTCTAGAATTATCGTAGAATCCATTTTCGGTGGATTGTAGATTATCTTCACCAATGACCTCCTCCTCGTAAAAGACATCTATTACGTCATCGGCAGTGGAACCCTCGAAACTAATTTCTAAATTGTCAATCGGGCCGTTGAATACTTGGAAATCTTCGTTCGTAGCAGCGGTGTCGCCCTCGGAGAAATACACCGAACTGCATGAATCGCACGGGTCGTTTGTCGATGCATGGTGCGCACAAGTGCTGGTTGGATGGGGAATTCCCTGAAGGAAAACTTCCAAGTTGCTGTCGACATTGATGCTGGTGGGGATGTTGTTGTTGCAGACGAGAAGGTGACTTTTCAACATGGCCTGGAGTTCGTCCCGCTCCTCTTTCAAACGACGCAGGTCGATAATCAAGTTGTTCGACGCTTTCTCGAGACGTTTAATTTTCTGATGACAAAATAAAATAAAAAATTCTCTAGATGTTTAAAGCATTAAAGGAGAAAAAAGGAGAAAAAAAATTCTCGAGACGATTAATTTTCTGATGACAATTTTTTTTTTCCTCGAGATGTTTAAAAAAAGAAAAAAAAATTCTCGAGACGTTTAATTTTTAGTAATTAAAATACAATGTAAAAAAAAGGAAAAAAAACCGACTAGATTGCTTTGTGGTTTAGAGGATCAGCACGTCGTAAGAAACAGAGGGATCATCACTTTTAAAAAAAAATTGGATTTTTCATTTCGTCCATCAAATACTACTAGATCTATATACTACAGTGGTGGATTAAAGGGTAGGTTGACTAAAAAGTTGTCTTATGAAAAAAAAAATCTGTGTGGATTTATCAGACACGGAGACCGCAAATAACTTGCAGCTAAAAGGCTAAAAGCTAAACGGAAGTTAACCCTCCCCAACAGAAGATAATCTTTCCCCCTCGGTAGTCAACTCTCCCCACCCTACAGTAGATAATCCCTCCTTCTCTTTATCATAGGGTGTAACGGATCCGAAGGTATTTGTCTTGTTGTGACCAGAGTTTCTTTCAGGCAACTCTCCGGAGGGGCAATGCACCCCCCCCCCCACCCGGGCGTCAACCGTTACATGACGAAATTTAACGACAAATCATTTATTAGTATTATATACTTTAAACAGTGTCCGCCTCTCCTTCCCTCCCCCCTCCCGAGAAAAAAATGTTTGAAAGAAACCCCGCTAGTGACCTAAGAAGTATGTGTTAAAGACAATGAGGGAAAAAAATCATCGTCACTAATAAGAATTTAAGAAGTGTGTGTTAAAAACAATTAGCTTTTCTAAGAAGAAATGGAAAAAAAAATCATCCTCACTAATGAGAACTTAAGAAATGTGTTTTAAAAACAATTAGCTTTTCCAAGAAGAAGGGAGGGGGGGGGGGGGTTGAAATCATCATCACTAATAAGACTCCCCCCCCCTTGCACCTGCTAATTGAGGTCCCTTCCTCAAGTACTTGTAAAAAAAAAACCCGTGACAAACGTAAAACACCCCTGACATCCGCTTAAAGCCCCACCTCACCAGGTAACATGTTTACTGACACCTCAATGCATGGGAAATAACTCCCCCAGCTAATAAAATTATGTATGCAACATCCGTGTTGATAGCAAACCAGACGTACTGCAATCTTTTTTTTAAATACATTATCTAAGTCAGAAAAAAACAACGCTTTTCTAAATTCAGAGGCGTAGCGACCCTTCCCGGCGCCCGGGGACAAAATTTTTCGATTTGCACCCCCCCCTCGAGATTTTGATTTGCACCCCCCTCAAACTTTCGATTTGCAGCCCCCCCCCCCCCTCGAGATTTTGATTTGCACCCCCCCCCCCCTCAAACTTTCGATTTGCACCCCCTCAACATTTCTATTTATTTTTCCAACCCATTTTGGCGCCCCCTAAGGTCGGCGCCCGGGGACATATGTCCCCCCCCCCGCCCCCCGCCCCCCCCCCCCCCCCGAAGATAGAATTCATGTAGAAAATGTATAGGCCTACTTTTAACAGTGTCGTCTAACAAACAAACAAAAACTATTGAACATATTTAATATATCGCCCTCGAAATTCAGTTCCAATACATAGGCTATAACCGTATTAATATATGCCGTTACTAGACCCATTTTATCAGATACTGGACTGTTTGTTTAGGATATTTAGCAACGCATTGTGTTTGAAGAGCGGAAACACCCGGTGCAAACTTGAGCAGTTTTCAACACGGCAGTAGTGGCAGTTAAAAATCAATGTGTTGGATAATTGTGCCTAGTCCGTCTTTTTTTTCTGTATGAAGCGATCATGTCGGTGGGTTAGTAGCTGATAATCAATTGGGGGCTGGGGCTGATCTAGGGTGGTTGTACAAGTCGATGTAGTGCCGTGTTGTGTACAACAGTGATGTGTTGTGTACAATGATATGTTGTGTACAACAGTGATAGTGAAATGCTGTGTAGCGACCCTTCCCGGGGACAAACTTTCAAGTTTTCGATTTGCACCCCCCCCCCCTCAAACTTTCGATTTGCACCCCAACCCTCAAGTTTTTCTCTATATATTTTGCTATTTTTTGCCTTGGTGTCACCCCCCTAAATGGTGTCACCCGGTGCGGTCCGCACACCCGCCCCCCCCCCTTCGCTACGCCCCTGAGCGTAACTAGGTCAGTGTCACCCGGTGCGGTAACTGGGGGCGTTGCCCCCCTCCCCGGGTAAATTTTAGGATTTTATTGTTCGAGTTCTGTCACCCCTTAAATTGTGTCACCCCTTAAATGCTGTCACTGTTTAAATGGTATCACCACTTAAATGGTTTCACCATATTAAATGGTGTCACCCTATTAAATGGAGTCACCACTTAAATAGTGTCATCCTATTAAATGGTGTCACCACTTAAATGGTGTCACCACTTAAATGGTGTCATCCTATTAAATGGTGTCAGCACTTAAATGGTGTCACCCTATTAAATAGTGTCATCCTATTAAATGGTGTCACCACTTAAACAGTGTCATCCTATTAAATGGTGTCACCACTTAAATGGTGTCACCCTATTAAATGGTGTCATCCTATTAAATGGTATCACAGGTGCAGGCCGATGATTGCTAATTCTGCCATATAGCACAGAGAAATTGATTCAATTGAGCCAATCCAGCTCTAATGGGTACCTTGCGAAATCGTTGGAAGGCTGCATTGCAATCATATATAAAGCCGGGATACTTCACTTGAAAAAAAATTACTTTGCAATACGTAAACGACAGACTCAAATCTAATTAACTTGTGTATTGTTATGTCATATTGACATATTACTGCTAATTGTTTTGACGGCTGGCTTTTCATGCTGTTAAAACAAAACAAACCGCGCGTAGATTTCTAAGGCGAACAAGTAAAATTGTAATCGTTTGTTTAGCTTTACAAGTTAGGATAAAGATTAGTGTTAACTCTTGTTGGATTTAGCATTTTTTATAGATATTAAAGTACCTATAAGGCCTGATTTATAATTATAAACACGTCCTTAGCGCCGTATTCGAAATTACTTTTTGTTAGTTGTATAGATAACCCTAGCCTGACGCTAACCAAGACCTTAACCTTAGCATCGATACCTACATACAATAAATATCAGTACGATACTGGCAACTTAACACTTAGTCGGGGAGGGGCGGACTTAAATTTCGGAAGGGGTGGTCACTGGTTAAAGCATATAATTTATACCCCCCCCCCCCACCCCGAAAAAATACCTGAAAGAAACTTAACTTTTTTTTTTAAACAACAGAACTAGGATGTAGATTATTGTCGGTTTCTATAACGACACCAAGTGGTATCACGCAGGTTATGTTATGGTACGGTTAACCCAAGTGTACCCAGCAATTCTTAACGACAATACGCCCCCCCCCACCCCACACTTGTAATTATGATTGCATTGATCATAGGGCGGAACCTATGGCTCAGCTTTGATCGCTGATTCGATATTTGTCGAAGACGTGCTAGCGTGTCAGCGGTGCATGCTAAACTGCACAGGAGGTGTGCAACAACGCGTGCTGAACATATTGACGCAACTTGAGTGTGTGTGTGTGTGTGTGTGTGTGTCTGTGTGCGTGTATGCTGGTGGTTTAGGAATGTCAAAGGGCTGGATAGACATTGAAACTAGGTCAAGCGTAACGGAGTTATTTCTCTTCCCCAAGCTTGTGTTTGTTTTAAGTTAATTTTTAAGAAGACACCCCCCCCCCCTTGCTACCCTCCGCCCAAACCTAATCTTACAAGTACCCGTGTGCAGTGAAGCGTAACGGTTTTAACAAAGAAAAGAGAAAAAAAAAAGGGGGGGGGGGTGTTTTCACATATTTAGTATGCTCAGCACAATTTCACGCAACAGTCGTTAAGGTTACACGCTACGAAAAAAAAATCAAACGTCTCAACAGATCGATGTGTATTGGAAATGATCGATACAGGACAAAACAGCAACAGAACAGTTGTGTGTTGGGGTCGGTTTTTGAGAGCAAACTGCCCGTGGGTGGGGGTGAGGTCAGGGGTGGGGGAGTTGTGAGGTTGCTGATGATGAGGGTAGTAGTGTTAGCTTGATATAGTGACCTTATGGGTGTTGATACAATAAGAATGTGACTTGATAGTCTATATAACATGTAATTAACGTTGGTCTTGGTAGACGGTAATAGGGATGCTGCTGACTGTGTTAGTTTTGTGTAACGTGTTCTAAAAGAAACATGAGTAATGACTTCAGTATATTTTGAGTTTAGAGCAAGTGGCGTCGCTAGGAGGGGTGGAGAGGGGTTCCGCCCCAGGCGGTTTATTATATTTATAACTAGAACATGGAGGCGAAAATCGGGAATTCGCCATTGATGAAGATTTGTATAGCTATGATGTTAATCGAGAGGACATTGTCATGTATCGAGCAAATATGTAGGACTTTGTACAATGTGAGTGGGGGTAGGACAAAATGGTTAGGGCTATAGGGCTATGACTGCATGAATAGGACTATAGAATTTAGCTCTTTGATAAAGTAGGACTTGAGTACAACACGGGTAAGTGTGTATTAATGTAGACATACGTATCCGAGATTGCACTAATCTACACATACAGTTATATGTCAATAGTGATAACCATCACACTGCCCCCACCCTCCCTCCTCTTACTACCACCCCCCCCCCCTCTTCACCACAATACCCGGTCTTACAAAATACTCATTTGGTTTTTTTCCCCCACTCTTAGCGATAGGAGATTATTGACAAAACAATCGTATCTCGTAATCTGGAGTTGAAAGGTCACAGCCGTGTCGTATCTCCCAGCACATTAGGAAAAAAGAACCAGGGCAATGATTTTCACATCCTTTGTATTCGTACTACTGTGTGTACCAGTGGCGTAGCCAGGATCGTCTCAAGGGGGGGGGGGTCCAATTTTTACCCGGGGACAAACTTTCGATTTGCACACCCCCCTCAAACTTTTGATTTGCACCCCCCCCCCCCCTCAAACTTTCGATTTGCACCCCCCTCATACTTTATATATATATACCAAGGGGTCTATGGAAGGGGGGTTTATGACCCCCCCCCCTAACCCCCCCTGCCTACGCCACTGGTGTGTACTGTGTATATGTGTGTATGTGTGTATGTGTGTATGTGTGTATGTGTGTATGTGTGTATGTGTGTATGTGTGTATGTGTGTATGTGTGTATGTGTGTATGTGTGTATGTGTGTATGTGTATATGTGTGTATGTGTGTATGTGTGTATGTATGTATGTGTGTATGTGTATATGTGTGTATATTGACACACGTAGACACACCCAATGGTGGGACAATGAGAAAAATTCCAGTGGGTCGACAGCAAGATTTCTTTCACTTTCAAACATTTTTTTGTTGGGGGGGGGGGGATTTCAAACTTCCTGGTAGGTGGGGGTCGGGCACTTGTAACTTCCGGTAAGGTACATGAAACATCAGCCGTCAGGGACCAAAGATTTCCTTTGGGCACCTGATCGAGTGGGTACTGCCCCTCCCCCCCCCCCCCCTCCGCCGGGACAAAGTACGATAAAATATAGAATGAATATAGAAAATATAATATTAAACCGGTGTTCGCAACCTCAGCAATGTAAATGTTCCGCTCCCCCCCCCCCAAGTATCAAGTGCATCCCCGGGGGTGAAAGGACTGAAAAAAACTGCAAGGGATGTTGCAGTAATATTTTTAAAATTTTCCAACCCAAACCCACCCCACACTACCCCTAGTCACACCCAAAATCCACTCTAATTTACCCCTTATCACACTACCCTTTTTTTCTCCCGGGAGGGGGGGGGGGGCACGGGTAAAAGTATATATTTTCAATACAAATTCTATTTGTTCGACCCCGACCCCAAAGAATGCCTGAAACAAACACTGAAACCCACCCTCAGTTTACCACTGGTCACGCTTCAAACCCACACATACACAGATATATATATCTTTGACCAGCAGATACTTACATCTGTCAGATAGTCTGAGGTATCTTTCTGCTTCTGCCTGAATCTCTGTGCCGCCTCGCGATTTTGTTGTCGTCTTTTCAGCGCTCGTTTTCTTTCATCGTCCGTCATCTATTTTAGAAGAAAAATCATTCATCATCAACTTACGATGCTGGTTACTGTTCTATTTTTATTTGATAATTAGCGTGCGTGGTTATTACGTGTAGGTAAGGTGCGGAAAGGTCAGAATGGGGGAGGGGGGGGGGATCGAGCGTGTGGGAAGTTCTGATAAATAATCCAACACCCTTCTATAACTTATGGAAGTAACTTCTCTTTAGGTTGATTGATTCAATGGGTAAGATCGATTATGGCATTATGGCATCATAGTGGGTTTCCCGGTAGTAAAAGCAAACGTTGGTGTGTATGTATGTGCGTGTGTATGAGAACATGAGCATGTACGTGTATGTGTATGTTTGTATATGTATGTGTGTATGTGTATGGGCACGTGTGTATGTGCACTAGTTAGAATGAGTGAGTATGAGTGAGTCTTTGTATGTATATATGGTGTGTGTGCATGTGTGTTCAAGTGTAAGTGAATATGTAAGCCATACGTGAAAGCATATGAGTAAGTGTACAGTATATTGTAACTGTATTTGCATGTATGTACACACTGTTGATATTTATTATTCTTTCCAGGAGAAAAGCAACAACAAAAAAGCGATATATTTTTCACTTTCTATTGAGATAGATTAGAGTTTAATACATGTCACTGAGATACCTTTAAGTATAATGAATGTCACTGAGATAGCTTTAAGTTTTAAGTTTAATGAATGTTACTGAGATAGCTTTAAGTTTAATGAATGTTATTGATATAGCTTTAAGTTTAATGAATGTTATTGATATAGCTTTAAGTTTAATGAATGTCATTGATATAGGTTTAAGTTTAATGAATGTCACTGAGATAGCTTTAAGTTTAATGAATGTTATTGATATAGCTTTAAGTTTAATGAATGTCATTGATATAGCTTTAAGTTTAATGAATGTCACTGAGATAGCTTTAAGTTTAATGAATGTAACTTACATCTTTCTTCTTTGGAGGGCTTTTAAACTCCACCTTAAGCTCCCCTTTTCCTTCCGCCATTCTCCGACTCTGGATAGTGCACCTGAGCTCTTCTTTGATCAGCGGGGTTAAGCTCCCACTCTGCACGGCCTTGAGCGTGGCGGCTAGAATCTTCTCCTCCTGGGGGTCAAAGTGCATGACGACCTCCTCCCCCAGCTGACCGTCGTCTGCGAACTCCTGGAACTTTTCTGGCATCTCGTGGTTCTGACTAGCACTCGTGGTGGATGCCGGTGGCTGGGTGGCCGAGCTGGTAGTGATTTCAATATCGCCGGCCGTCTCCGGGAGGAACTCGACTGAGGTGGGGGTGGGGTCGGACCACAAGGTCACGTGATCGCAGTCGGTGGGTTGTGGGAATTGGAAAAATTGGAACTCTGGGACCAGTTCCTGGTGGTCGTAGCTCAGTGCTCGGTTCTCCTTCAGTTGGGGTTGGATGAGGTTATTTATCATGGCACTCTTTAGGCTGAGGATGAATGGCATATGTTCGCAAATTATGAATGTCAGTAACAAAGTATGGGGGTTAGGATAGGCTGACGGCGTGGTTGAATGGTAGAGTGTTCGACCGTTAAATCGAGTTCGGATCCCAGGGGCTCGAGTCCGTCGGACGTCCCCGAGTCCACCCAGCTCTGATGGGTACCTGACTCACGTTTGGGAAAGCCTGGGTCACTAAAATAAAAATTAAAAAACCAGGTAAACTCTACTTCACCTGCTACATGAATGTTAAATTCCCATAGTATACGTTACGTACTTATGTAAAAAATCTAAAAATAAAATAAAAAATGACATTAAATTTTAACGCTCGTTGTGTACTGAGGGCGTGGCTGTGGGGCCTCCAAGACAGGAAAAATCGAATCGACCAATATCGTCGAAACCCAACTACCGTATCGATACCGAGACATAACCATGACCGCAATATCATAACCCAACCACCAACACCGCATGGTTATTTTGACGCCCGCGTAAGACTCATCACGATGCCTGTTGAACTCCTACTAAAGCATACGTACAATTACACCTATCTAATCCTCCCCCACCCATCGTCCGTCTGCAAATAGCAGAAAACTGATAGGTTAATGGATGGCTTGTCCATTGATTTTGATTCATCGTGCGGAAGAATAGATCTACAATGTCAGATTGATTTTTTTGAAATATTTCAACCGTTCGTTAAACTGCACAGTGATTATTCCACGAAAATTTCAATCCAGATCTAAGCCCTTATAGATATTATAAAGAAGAAAATTGCATATATCATTCTGATATAAATGAGTCCCACGATTTATAATAAAATATACATTTTAACTTATTACAACGATTTTAATTCTTTATTTACTACTGTGGCAAAAATCATTATCAATAAGACACATTAGGTAAAAAAAAAATGAAAATAAATATTATAACTGCCTTACCGGTATACAGAATAAATGATTAAAACAACTGTTTCCAAAGTGAATAATTGTCTCCAGTTAGATCTAGTTCGGATAAATTCATAAACACAACTGACTGACGTTTAGACTACGTTCGTTCATGTGGTTTAATGTTTACGTTGTGAAAAAAAAAGTGATTGCACAGGTCTTGTGACACTGTATATATCATGGGATTCCCGTGCTATTTTTAGATTGGTTAACCCAACCAATCGGAAGCGAGTTCGTATTGCTGGATGTCTCGCGATTCTGACTGAGCCAGCGTTACCTGAGGGGTTGGCGAGTATGACGTGTCAAACGGTTTTTTGTTGTTGTTGTTGTTTTTAAATAAAAGTAAAAACCGGTTCAGAAAGTTGAGAGTTGAAACGTATTTAAATGAAAATGTTATTTAAATCTTATCAAGTTTTAAATGCATTTATTTATGATCACCGTAACGCCCTTTAATTTTTCTCTATTACGTTGGAAGTTGGAAAGTAAACTTTTTTTTTGTCTTTTCCTATTAGTCGTACCCTTGTTGTTAGTTATGTTACTGCCTCCTTGGCACTAAATTTATCTAACGCTAACCTTACATTGACTTTATTGATATGTTAATCTCAATCAGCAGACTGATATTGATGATTTGTTAATGGGGTTGGGTTCTGTCTACCTAACAATTGAAATAATTTTAAAACAATGAAATAAAGTTCACCGTGATATATTTGTTAGATAATTAATTCACATACACTCAATTTAGTTAACTCACTAGGACGATGAGGGGTTTAAAAGTAGTTAAAATATTAGATCTAAAACCAGCAGTATAAAATATTTCTGGATTTTTGTTCTGCGCTAGAGTGCTGGCATGTGTAAGGTCTAGCTCCTGCAATGATTGCGAGGATTTCATCAGACCGATGAAACGTTTAGATCAAGGCCAGACGGTTGCTGTTGGCAACGACTGTAAACACATCGCCCCACCCCCACCAAATCACATACACACACCAGGCACACAAACACACATCACCAATTTTATTTTTAAAAAAATATGTTTTAATGAAAACAAATTGCACATTTTTAAAATGAGCAAGCAAACGATCCACATTGAAACGAATAGATATAGTATGATTGCTGGTGTTAGAAAAGGGGGAGGAGGGGTTATTCTGTGTATGGCCAGGCACAGGAGCACGAAAACATGAGCCTGTTGTCCCGAGTTCGCTCAACGACTTGACTCAGCCATAATTGGTACCTGGCTTTTACGCTGAACACAAAGGCCTCCCTCAAACACACACACACGCACACACACAAACACCCCATAATAGAAACGATACTTTGGCAACAGAATGAGATTAACTCTACTTTACCTGCCAAACGGAGTGCTAAGGCTCAAAACGGTACACCAATTTTAATGTGGTTATGGCTAAGTGGTGTCGGATAAAATTTATTTTTATTTTTTGTAAACAGTAAACGACATGACGATGGAATATGGCCTAATGGGCGTTGTCGGTTATTAGTGTTGGGTGCGTGTGTGTGTGGAGGGGGGGGGGGGGACGGGGAGGAAGGAATCTGGATTAGAATTACAGTTGGGGGTTGGATTAAGGGTGGTTAGGGGCATTAAGGCTGTGGGGAGGGAGGGGGTCATCACTACTTGAAGAGTTAGAACCATGGTTAGGGTCAAGTACAATTCATCGATACCAACAATAAAAACATAGCTTCGATCTGCCCCGCTGGAGATTAGGCCCTACAAATTAACATCCTATAATAACATCATTAACTTTCGTTCTTTATATCTCACAATATTGACGCAGCATCAGACCTTTATCACTTGCCGGTGTTTATATTGTAATGTTTTTATTGTAGTGTTTTTATTGTAATGTTTGTAATGTAACCTACAAACCAAAAGATAATTATCACCAGCCTGATGCTAGCTAAGCGTGGGAGGCGTGGATTGATGGTATTGATTGGTGTAAGTGGAGCCTAGTGACCTACATCACTGGACCGGTGGTTGCCTAGAAGCGCAAGTTCAAATGTAAATAAACAATCGGCGGCCAATCAATGACTGTTTTAGAGCCAGTCTGTGTATTCTACAGACAAGCACTTCTTGACAATCATAATGGAATAATGTATGGTATTTTATTCTAAGACTATTAGTAACTTGTAAACCTACCGCATTATATTAAAATAAATAATATATATATAGATGTATATATATATATATATATATATATATATATATATATATATATATATATATATATATATGTCTATGTCTATACAGATACATGTATATATATATATATATATATATATATATATATATATATATATATATATATATACTATATATATATATATATGTCTATGTCTATACAGATACATGTATACATATATATATATATATATATATATATATATATATATATATATATATATACATATATATATATATATATATATATATATATATATATATATATATATATATATATATATATATATATATATATATATATATATACGTGTATTAAACACATATTGTAAGCCTAAACGGAATCTAAAGAGTTCTGTTGAACATTTTTTCGGAAAAAAATGACGCCATTTTTTTGTTCCAAAGTTCAGAAATAACCACCACTGACGTCACTGCGCACGAGAGGTTAAGCCGCTGTCCTTGACCCCCACAAGACTGCGCCAGCTTAACGCCGAGAAGATAGTGCAGGGGGCGATCGACACGCTTGAATGATTACAATAGAAATCAACGCCAGGGCGTGGCCTGAATGTCCCCATTGTTTACTTTATTAGCTACATCTCGGTCCTGTGATGAATAATATCTAAAACGAGCCGACCCGCTGCGTATCATACGCCGCTATTTAGTTGTTTTTTTTTCTACTTTTCAGTAATTTATAGTTTGTGAATTCGACAGTACCGATGCTGCCATTGAAAATATTTGCTTAAAAACACTACCCCCCCCCCCCCCCCCCCACGTGAAAGCAGCCTCCTCTTAGTTACCTCCTCTAAGTTTAAAATCGTTTCAAACTAAATTATCTGCCCCTAATAGCCGTCACCAAACCCGTCTCTGTGATTGTAAAATGTAAACAGAGTGAACACCGCTCACCAGATCATGTGGGGGTGGGGTGGGGGTGGTAGTGATAGAGAGGAAGAGAGGGGACTGCAAAGGCGCGCTTGCAGCTTGTTTTCTAACTGATCCCAGAAGAGAATTATATATATAGATTACCAAAACCTCGGCTTAGTAACGAATAGGAATTTTGTTTTTAATAATTTAAAAAAGTTGGTCAAAGATTTTTTTTTTAAAGAATTTTTTTCAAATATTTTAAAAAAGTAAAAAAAAAAATAATTAAAATATGGGATCGACGGATGAAAAAAAATGTAAAAAAAAAACCCACCAAAAAAAAAACAAAACGAAACACAGTAAATTGAGTAAATCGGGTTAATTAGAGGTGTAAATTACTCAAAAGATTATGGTGCGAGTACCAGTCAAACCCAGAACACGACTTAAATTTTACGGATATTTTACGAACCGCGCCATTTTTTTTATTCAGGTGGGCGGAGGCATACAACTGAGCGTTGCAGGATGTTTAAAATAAATCGTCTAACAGTTTTTAATGCATTCTTTCTACACTAGACGTAACGATTAATTCCCCCCCCCCTCCTCTCCCCGCAGCCTTGACTACCAACCTTTGTTTACACAGTTGAAAAATAAAGACAATTTTATTTCCTATTCGATTAGCCCTACCTGTAGAAACTGGTCAACTCTTCTTCCTCTACCCCACCGCATCACACCTGTCTATTCACAACTCTACTTGTACAATACTGTCATGAGATTTCGAATATTGATTTTTTAAGATGTTTACGGTTGGGTGGGTGTGTGTGGGGGGGGGGGGGGGAGCAAGTTATGCCCGCTGGCGTACATCCATGTATGGTCTGCAATAACTACGATGCAGGGCGGCCATAAAAGGGAAAATACTGGAACCCTGCTTGAATGATCAGCTTTTCTTCCCATATTAGGAAATCTAAACTGGTACCGACTATTGTGTAGGCCTTAAACCCACAATCTGCTATGCCATAATAATTAAGACCAGAGTTTATTTCAGCCCCCCCCCCCCCCTCATGAAAGAGAAATAAAAATTTTAAAGAAAATGCTTCCCCCTCCCCCCGGATCAAATAGAAATAAAATTTATATAGAAAATATATACTTACAAGTGTCTCCCCCACCGTGAAAATTAAAGTGCAATTCCCCCTTCAGGAATATAAAAAAAAATTGTCTTAAAGAAACACTGATCACCACTAAATATAGTTTAGAACCTTCAACTCTACGAAACAGTATCATTAATGTTATAAATAATCTTTAGCATAACCTTAATTATACAGGGAATAAAATATATAGACTACTGGGGGTACGGTAAACCGAATAGAACAACTTAACTTTATGGGCGTGTTTTAAGTCAAGCGAGACGGAAGTGCTTGTTCATGTAGACACAAGTACATACGCTGTTAAGGCTACACGTAAGAATATATCTGTAAGACAAAGCTACGTTTTTAATTGATTTTTTAAAGTTGTAGACTAGTATAACTACTCTTAACAGCTCTGACGCCAGGGAAACTAAACCACAGTTTTGACCACACAATCCCCCTGTATGTCGAGGTTTATGAAACAGATGGACTCTACTTCACCTGCCCCACCATGTGTCTTGGGCACGAACGGGAAAAGATAATGATAGCTACACTAAATTTAACTTTAGTCCAGACGATAACTGCAAACTCTGATCCTAAAACTAAATAGCCACACAAGATTTCTAAAAAAAAAAAAATTAAAAAATTAAAAATTAAAAAAAATACAACGTTGTCCTCACCCACGTAGAAAAGTCCACCTCCCCCAACACCTAACAAATTTAAAAAAAAAACATATAATTTATATAAAAAATATATACTTCAACCAGTGTCCGCCCACTACCCCGCAAAAATAAAGCCCGAACCCCTTTCCCATTCCAAAAAAAAAAAAAAGTTTCAAGCCCCTCCCCACTACCCCGAAGAAAAATGTCTGAAGGAAACACTGCTTGTACTTCCGAACAATGAGGTTAGATGTAAACTTTCGTCATCCAACGAAAAAAAAAAACATAAACAAACAAAAAAAAAAAAACAACTGGCACCCGACATGAAAAAAAAGAAAAAAAAGAAAAACGACGTGTCCTAGAATTCGTCTAGTTCCGGACAAAAACTATTGGCATCGACTTCCTATAGCACCGGTTGTTCAACCTTCGCGGAAATTGACTAAAACCCGCGTGATTATGACATCACCGATTCAATGGATTTGCAGACGTGGAAGATGAGTCAATGTTTTCATTTTTTCCCCTCAATGAATACCCGTACTGATTCATACAGCGACCTTGATCGCTAGCCAGGATGTGTGTGTGTGTGTGTGTGTGTATGTGTGTGTGTGTGTGTATGCGTGCGTGACTGTGTGTTAGAAGTGGTCCCACATTATCAAACCCCCTTGCACTCAAATGTATATATACACACACACACACGCACATGTAGACACATAATAAATTCATCTGTAATTTCTATAAAGGGCTTCATTTTTTAGAAAATTAATAATCGGAATTTTCGTTTCTTTAACAAGACCCATTTCACGTGCCAATAGATAATAAATTACAAATATAACACTTTAGAGTTCTGTTGTCATTTCGGGAAAATCTTTTCTACCCATTAAAAAGATATTATTTGGAGCAGTTGTGGTTTTACTCGTTCTTTTAATGTTTAATTAATGTTTACAAAATAATAACCTTTTTGTTCATTGACGGCCCACTTAACACAATGTATCAAACACTGTTATTGTAATAGTTACCTTTTTCAAGGACAATTCTTGAACTTACTAAGCAAGCTTTTAATAGCGATTAGCAATGCCTGTTGGCTTATATACCAGTTTTTCTCCGCGAAGTGCAAAGGCGATTCTAAAATTACCAGCCAATAGAATAATTAGACGCTTTCTTCCGCGAAGTAAGCTAAAAATAAGAATCTAAAAATAGTTTGTGGAAAAGCTGCTTTTCTTTTAGCTCCGCGAAGTCAAAAGACTCAAGGCAGGTCATATCCCCCCCCCCCCGCATATTTTTTTTTTTTTACAGAAAAATTTCAGCAGATGATATTTCAATAAATAGTTATTTTTATTTATTGCTTACTCATGTAGCAAGTCATGTATAACAAAATGGATGTAGTCAGGTTTAATAAAAATTACAATTTAACTTTAGAAATCTAAATTGATATACAGATATACGCCTATGGCGTTTCATTTGTTGCTTTAAAATATTGCATCTTTTCTTTCCCTATTAATATATACATTATTGCACTCCTTCCAAAGCGATGCCACAAAAATCCAACCCCTCCCTTAAATTCACGAGCAGTCCCGTTCTTCAAAATAATTTTGATGTTGTAGATAAACTAAGGTTTGCTACGATTGGTACGTTAGAATTTCCACCAACTAATACACGCATGTAACCCGAAAGTCACGAGTTCGAATCCGGGTCGGAGTGAGTAGAACGTCAATGAGTCCACCCAGCTCTAATGGGTACCTAGCTCATGTTAGGAAAAAACTAAGGCGGCTGGGCATAATGCTGACCACACTATCCCTTCATATGCCGAGATCACTGCAACAGATGAACACTACTTCATCTACCCCATGTGTGTGTCTTGGGCACGAACGGGAAACGATGATGAATATACGCATGTAGCTCCAATCTATGGCTATTTTTATTGGTGGTGGGGTGGGGGTGAGAGGGTGAAAGCAGACCAAAGCCCTCCAAGAGCGGTAAACCACAGGAATGGATATTATCGAAATATAGACGGAATTATAATTATAGGGAAAACATTCGTTTTGCCCCGATATTTTCAGTGTCAGAGAAAAAAATCAGCTCGTTCCCGTGATAATTATATCTCGATGATACTTCACGCAATTGTAGTCACTCTACACAATCGTACTATATTTAAACCTATGCACACAACCGAAAAAAAATCAAATTTATTATTTCTTTTGAGTTTTTCGGTTTCTGGCAATTTGCATCCTAGGTTCTTTCAGGTATTTCTTCGGAGAGGAGGGGGGGTGACATTCCCCTTCACCCCCCCCTCCCCTTCAGTGTTTCTTCCAGACTTTTTTCTCCGGGGGGGGGGGGCACTTGAAATTTTCGGGGGGACGGTAGACTTTCTTCGGGGGGGGGGGGGGGTGGCGGACACTGTTAAAAGTATATATATTCTATATAAATTTCATTTCGTTCGGGGGGAGGGGCGGTAGACTTTTTTCGGGGAGGGGCTCTTGTATTTTTCGGGGGGGGGGGGGGGGGGACGGTAGACTTTCTTCGGGGGGGGGGGGGGCGGACACTGTTAAAAGTATATATATTCTATATAAATTTCATTTCGTTCGGGGGGAGGGGCGGTAGACTTTTTTTCGGGGAGGGGGGGGGCACTTGAAATTTTCGGGGGGACGGTAGACTTTCTTTGGGGGGGGGGGGCGGACACTGTTAAAAGTATATATATTCTATATAAATTTCATTTCGTTCGGGGGGAGGGGCGGTAGACTTTTTTTCGGGGGGGGGGGGGGCACTTGAAATTTTCGGGGGGACGGTAGACTTTCTTTGGGGGGGGGGGGGGGGGCGGACACTGTTAAAAGTATATATATTCTATATAAATTTCATTTCGTTTCGGGGGGGGAGGGGCGGTAGACTTTTTTCGGGGAGGGGGGGGTGGGAAGATGAAGAGATGCCTGGAAGAAACTCTGCTCCCCTTTCCGAACGAAACAGAAATAATATAAAATTTATAAAGAAACTATATACTTTAACCAGTGTTCCGTCCACCCCCCCCCCATCGGAATTTTAAGTCCGACCCTTCTGAAAAATGTTTGCCCCACCGAAAAGTGTCTGAAAGAAACACTACCCAGGCTAAAAGATATTTATAATTTATTTTTTTGTCCCCCGTTAATAACCACCTTACATGAAAGGCTTCTGTCTCGACTACTTCTTGAGGCACACATCAGCACTAAGAGGATTCAGAGGCGCAGTCATATTACCATCTATCTCACAACCACATATCCACACATACCACTGACACCATCTTACTAATGTAACACAACCACACATCCACACCACACATACAACTGATACCATCTTACTACAGTCTCACAACCACATATGCACATCACACATACAACTGATACCATTCGTGTCAATGATTATAAAACTAATAAAAGTAGCATGTATTGTAACTCATCATTTTATTTTTTAAAAGAACTTTTTAAAAATAAAATAACATTGTTAGATCCAGCTAGAAAATAACTGGTCTATGTATAAACATAAAAAAAAGAACATACATTCATATATTTAAACACATAGTGTTTTTTTTAGAAATACTAACTTAATACAAAAGTTCCACAAATAATTCTGTTTCTTTTATTTAAAATATTTTCCAGAAGCAATTTTAAATGCAACTAGCAAGAAGAGGGGCTAAATTTAAAGGGAAATAACCAAATAATTATAATTTAAAAAATTGGAATAAAAAAAGAAATATTTTCCATAAAATGGTGGTTTAATTATTTGTGGCTGGTCACTATAAATGTGGAAACAATCTTTATATCAAACAAATTTGTTAGAAAAAATAATAAAAAGGTATTTAAAAAATAGTTTTTTTATTTAATTAAAAATCTCAACAATATTTTTTAAATATTCTCTAATCTTAGTAGATAAACGGAGAAGGATTTAAAACATACATGAACGATTTTAGGATTGCTTATCCTTAACAACGTCATAAAGAGAATCTATTTTTAATGAGCGTTAAAACATATAACATTATTTACATTTTAACACACAAGCATGATAATACCTATGATCATTTTTGAACTAGGGAGCAGGATCAATCAAGGGAAGCAACTGTGGTAACTCTTTCTCAGAGTAAGTGTATTTTGTCAACAAATTAAAGACATATAAATGTTATAAAATAAAGAATATAATCTGCCATACAGCCCAAATTTATCACACACAAATTTTAAGCCATTTTTTCTACAGTCAATTTTTTTAGTATTTACTAAAATAAAAAATAAAACAAATCACAAATTAAAAAAAGAAAAATAAACAGTATACTCAGTATAAAATTATAAACTTAAAAATAAACATTGAAAACAAGGTGCTTGTGTTTATAAACCAAATTTTCCTGTAAAATATTCTTTTAATATTGAAATTCTCCTAACAACATAAAATAGTGGAACCCTCCCATTAATGTAAAAGAATGAAATTACTCTAAAATAATATAATGAAATTCATTTTAAATAAATTATTAAATTACTCAAACGTTACAATATTTATGCTGCTAATACATTTTAATGAGTGATAATTATTTTTAATTTAAAAAAAAAGTTTTTAGATACCAAGTACTCAATAGCTAACATCATGTAAGCTTAAACACACAAATTAACTAGTGAAATTAGAAAATAAGAAACAAAATAAGATCTCAGTCCTGTAGAATTAATTACGAAATGAAATCAAATGACAAAGCATTTTCAAATGCAATTTTTTTAAAATTTGTATTATATACAAATATACATTAACAATTAAACTGGGCCATTTATCAAGTTTTCCAGGTGTTAAATCATCAAATATTCACGACCCATATAAAATCGCAAGTACACATAAAATGATATTTCACACACTAACTGGTTGGTCAATACACCAGCACTATTGTGCGACCCATCAATACTTATACTGCAGCAAGCAATATATTCTATTTGAACTCCACACTTTAAATTGACTAAGTTTATTAATACAGAAACCAATTTGCTTATTAATACTTTGTACAATAATGCATATTAATATGGAAAAATTGCTTAACTTCTTTATGGCAACAATGGTTTTTGAGCATAACAAACAATTTTTAAGATAACTGAATTATGCTGTTACACTAAATAATATTAATTGAAAATTTAAAACAATATTTTGTAAAATGCAATCAATGGTAAGGGACGTAACTCAATGAACTAGATGACTAAAACAGATCAAAATTATAATGTGGGTTTACAAAAACGATGTTTCTTTTAATGATAATTGTATATTTAATTAAAAAATAAATGGTGCTAGTTTTTATCTCAAACAAAATTAAAAACACAGTAGAAAACAAAATTAAAGCATGCAACAAAATAGTATGCAAACACTGTAAAGGGGTTTTGCACATTAAAAAGGAGGTTTATGCTTGAATACAATCTTTCTCCAAATTGGCATTCAGTGGCTTAGAGTAGTTGTAGCTCAGTTGTGATCAATTAGTAAGGATGGTTAGGTATGGAATGGAAGCTTTTTTCCTGAGAACTAATTGGACAGTCAGCCTATGGAGATGACCACTGTTGACCACTGGACTAAGGCCAGAAATTCATATAACGGCTGTAGATGGTCATTGGCTATGCTAGCTGATAATGCCATGGTTGATGTGCTTGACTTAAGACTTGTTGCTGCCCTGTGGAGACAACCACAGTGAGGCATGAGACTTGGGCCAACATCCTTCACCTGGTGTTATGGCCACGGCTTTGTCCTGGGCCATTCTGTACCACAGGGCCATGTAGTCCTACCATGCTGAGATGCAGATTTATAATCTCTTGTGATATGCCCAAGTTAAGTAGACGAGCCATAAACTCCTCTTTTTCTTTGAGCATTTTCTGGCACGCTTCTTGCAGCACTTCATGACGCTTCTCTTCGACTTGAAGTTTCTGAAAATTGTAAAAATAAATGTTTATTTAAATACTGTCATAATATAAGTTGAATGTAAAAATAAATGTTTACTTAAATACTGTCATAATATATAATTATATATTGAATGTAAAAATAAATGTTTACTTAAATACTGCCATAATATATATTGAATGTAAAAATAAATGTTTACTTAAATACTTAAATTACTGTCATAAATTTTGTTTTACTGTAAGTGCAAGAAAGCAACATAAAAATATCTAAGTCTAATGCAATTAGATTCTACTATTATTTAGAGATTACACTAGATGACTAGACTATAGTAATATTTTAATATTATTTAATTATTTATAATAATTCAATTTATTTTAATTTGGTTTATGAGACATTAATGAGTAAAAGTAAATGAAAGTTTCAAAGTAAGTAGTTAAGTAGGCCTAGCCTAGTTCTTCATCAAAGTAGTCTTTTTAAATTAAAAATTCACAAAAGGAACAAAAGCAAATGTAAACTAATGTAAACTAAATGACATAATCCTATTCATACTATAATGAAATATAATAATGTCTTAAAAAGAAAAGCAACAAGAATGCATGCACCTAATGTAAACCAGATTCTAGATCTAAAATCTAAGTCTAATAATTGACTTAATTATTTTATTATAATTAAGAAGATTATGAAAATAAACATTACTTCTTCCGCTTCCTGTTGCTTCGCCTTTAAACTCTGCCTGTAATTCGCGGCTGATTTTCGATTCAGTTCTTTCCTGTGATCTCTCTTTTCAATCTCTTCTTGAGTCAACTGGAAAAAATTAAAGTAAACAAATTTCGTTAGATTATTTTAAAAAATTAGACAAGTCATCATTTATTCAAGCCTGCAATATTCATATTGATTTAGTTTAGGGACTTCGAATAGATCTACATCAAATCTGAAAGTAAGATTTTTTTTCGTTTATTTATTAAATTATAAATTATCTTATTATAATTTTAATAATTTAAAAGTTTTCTGTCAGAGTTCTTAAAGAAAAAGTTTCGTAAATTTGAATACATGTTTATTCAACTACCCTGACTTACCTCATATTCTTTGGGGGCGGGGTCATGTAAGATGACGTCATCCTTCCCTTTAAGACTGAGGTTGAGCAATATTTTTTGTTTAAGCTCATATTTCACCATGGGGAACCCGTTCCCAGTATTGAGGTACTGAATCGTAGCAGCAGCGAGAGAGGGGTCCACATCACCCAATTTCAGGGAATGGTAGCTATCCACTTCAGCATCCACAGCTGAAGGTAGAACTGGAGGCTCCGGGAGTTGTTTGGGATATGTTTTCTGGCATTCCAAGTCGGAATTTGAAATTCCGTTGCTTGTTCGTGCTACAATTTTAGTGCTGTTGAACTGTTCGTAGCCTAGTCTATTGTGTGAATTGGGGGGTTCTTGAGTTCCGGGGTTGGATGAGGACGCCGTGGTGAGTAGGTTTTGTGGAAACTGTGGTTCAAGAATCTGGGCGGAAGTGGTCATGTGGTATGGGGGTGAGGTAGGTGTGGAGGCTTCCGCTGGAGGTAGGGATGGAGGATGTGTTACATAAGAGGTAGCAGGTGAGACTGGACAATTTTTAAGGCAATACCCTGAGGTGTTAATGCCGCTGGTGGGTTTTTGATGGAGGTCAAAGGTGGGGCTTTGAGGAAGTTCAAAAGTGGGTTTTTGAGGAAGGTCAAAAGTGGGTTTTTGAGGAAGGTCAAAAGTGGGTTTTTGAGGAAGGCCAAACGTGGGTTTTTGAGGAATGTCTTTGGGCATTTGGTAAAAGGTATTGTCAGATGCTGCTTGGTTAAGATCATTTTTGGGTAGTTGAAGAGCATAAGGAGTGGGCTCATGATATAGGACATTGGTGGTTATCTGTTGAAGGTCGGCAGAGGGCGTCTGATCAAGGTCACTGGCGCGCATCTGATCAATGCCATTTGTGGGCACCTGATAAAGGACATTGCTGGTCATTTGCTGAAGGTTACTGTTGAGCATCTGATCAAGGTCACTTGGGGGCGCCTCATAAAGGAAACTGGTGGTCATCTGTTGAAGGTCACTGGAGGTCAATTGATCAAGGTCACTTGTGTGCTCCTGGTAAACTCCATTATTGGAAGCCTGGCGTTGACCATTGTTGTGAACAAGGTTAATGCCATTGCTGGGTTTTGACCATTGTTGTGAACAAGGTTAATGCCATTGCTGGGTTTCTGCTGCAGATAACTAGTCGTGGGGAGAATGTAGGCTGTGCTGGGACTAGTACGGTCGGCAGTGCTGCCTCGTCTGAGGCGCTTCCTTAGGGATTCCTCCAGCTGTCTCTCGTGGTTTAGCTGTGCCTCCCCAACATCATACATGTGGTACACGTCATGACGCCAAACGGGGACACTGTCCTGATTCTCATTCGGGGTAACGGAGTTTGTAGGCCGTGACGTCATCTCGGAAGTGATTGATGGTTGGTCCCGAGAACTATACCGGCGTTTCCGGTTGAAAGTTGTTGGTTCCTGGGACGGCTGTTTTGTTTCTGGCATGAATGGTACGTCGTTGAAAAATGTGTTGTTTAAGTTACAGCCTGTGCTGTTGAATTCTTGGCATGTGCTGTTGGTATTGTTGTAGGTGTTGTTGTTAGCTGAGTTGTGAATTAAATCTATCAGCTGTTGCAGGTTTGACGAGTCTTCGTTTAAGAAATCTTCCAACGTAACGTTGCTATTTTCGTCTTCTTCGATGAATCTGTTTGTTGATGTTGTGATCTCTTTTTCAGGCGTGGGGGTGTTTGTGAAGAAGCTGCTATTGTCAGGATAGGGGGTGTGGCAACTGCGCACCAAGGGGGTGCAAGGACCAGGGGACGGGGTGGGGGCCTGGGGCCAGTTGTCATACCGCTCGTCGCTCACGACCGAGGGTGGGAATGACTGGGCGGGGCTCGCCAGGGGGGACTCGTTCTCGTGCTCATCCAAGGGGAACCAGGTGTGGTCGTCGTCATCGTAGGTTGGTGCCTGGTACTGCATGCTGCTGGTGGGATTATCACGTGACGTCTTGATTGAAAACTCGTTGGGATATTTTATTCTGCCTGTCGCTATAAAGGACGGAATTGTTTTTAAAATTTAGATTTAGTCAAAGTCAAAATTAATACACATACATACAGACACACACACACACACACACTATATATATATATATATATATATATATATATATATATATATATATATATATATATATATATATATATATATATATATATATATATCTGTGTGTGTGTGTAAATTTTTAAAAATATGCTAAATATATGCGTATATATTATCAATGTATACATTTATATATATATATATATATATATATATATATATATATATATATATATATATATATATATATATATATATATATATATATATATATATATATATATATGTATGTATATATATGTGTGTGTGTGTGTTCATCATGTATGTACATGTTTATGGGTGAGTGATTGCGTTTATTTTATTTTATTTTTCAGAAAGTATCTCGGAATAATGATATTTATGTTGTCTATATTTTTCTTTAGAGTTCCTATAGCTGAAATAGTTTTAGTTGTATTTCAACATTTTTAAGTTACAAATAGTTTTCGTGTAATAAATAAAATATTTTTTTTATTACGAAGAATACCTTTTATAACTTTTATTACAATCCAAACATTTCGTTGATGTTGTTGTTATCTTTTTTTTTTACACTTTTTAAAACCAAGATCGTCACTTGTTGAAGTCTTATTGCGCAAGTGCAAGAAACGTATGGACTGCGTAGTTTATAAAGGGTTAACTTTATAGCGGGAAGACATTACGTGTATTAGGCCTACTTGATTTTCCCGAAGTGACGTCAAGGTGTAGAATGTTCGAAAACGTATTGCTACATTCTAGTTAAAAGTGTATTCAGTTTCAATGAAGTTGCGTGGTGGAGGCACTAGGTTGAATAATCGGTTTCACTTTTTTATTTAAAAAATTATTGTTTCCGTTATATTATTGGTTTTGATGGTTTAAAAAAAAGAAACTCTTCTTTTAGATGTAAACCGTACTTTCATACCTTGAAAATGGACTCATTGAAGCACTAATTTGAGAGCGGATGTGATGTTATATAAAAAAATTGGGGAAGATGGAGAAGTGGAGGTCGTATGCCTAATATAGACCACTAAATCCAAATGCTAAATAATGTTCCCTAACTGCGTATATCAACGCTACACGTTTAATTATACTGCTTATGTAATTGTTTTTTTCATCTGACGTCTTTTGTGTCACTTTGGGAAAAATCCTGAGCTATTTTTAGTCGTCTTGGGAATCACCGTACAGGCGTTTAAGCCTAAAGAAGATCAGGATAGACCAAAATATGTACTACGAATAAAAGGTATTGGTTTTAGAAGGGAGTTTCTCAAAAACCTTAATGGAAATATCCAGTGTTTCTTACAGACATTTTTCTCCGGGTGGGGGGGGGGGGGGGGGGGGGGGGGGGCGGACACTGGCAAAAGTATGTTTTCTATATACATTCCATTTCGTTCGGGGGGTGAGGGTGACTTTCTTTGGGGGGGGGGGGGGGGGGGGGGGAGATGCCTAGAAGAAACTCTGGAAATATCCGGTATGAAAAACCATACCACACGTATTTGTGTTGTATAACCACACGTGTGTGTGTGGGGGGGGGGCGTGGTGAGAGGTAGAAATGATAGCTTCGTAATCGAAGTGTCTTTGTATGGGGGGGGGGGGGTTACTCGCGTATAATGTGTGAGAGAATGTTTGTGTGTACGAATCTTTTCATAACCGTGTTAACATGATTAGGTCTTTTGCTAGAGTATAACGATAGATATGAATACCTAATGTTTAAACTTTCAAATGTTTAGTTTTTATAGAACGATGAGAGAGTGGGGAACATTTTTTTTTCAAATCAAGGTTTCACGATGGAATCTTCCAATAAATGGGGGTGTTGTGTTTTATTTTTTTAAAAATTGGATAGACCAATAATTGGGGGGTATTATTAGCAGAGTTTCTTTCAATCCATCTCTTCTTTCATCCACCCCCCCCCCCCGAACGAAATGAAATTTATATAATTTATTTAGGGAAATATATACTTTTAACAGTGTCCGCACCCCCGAAGAAAGTCTACCGACCCCCCCCCCCCCCGAAAATTTCAAGTGCCCCCCCCCCCCGGAGAAAAAAAGTCTGGAAGAAACACTGATTATTAGTTATAAAGTTATTTTAGAAAGTCCATGTTGAAAGTAGTATATGCTTGTAGTTTACTTCTAGCAACCTAACACCCCTGTTTTTTAGATGTTTCCATAGTAAGTCCAATCACGATTCGATAATGGAATCTTCCAAAAAATGGGGGTGTTGTGTTTCTTTAAAAAAAAATGGAATAGACCAATAATTTGGGGTGTTATTAGTTACTTATATTTTTTACTTTTGAGTCAACATTGAAAGTACTACACGCTCGCAGTTTACATCTAGGAACCTAACACCCTGTTTTTAGATGAGTCCATAGTGAAACCACGGGTATGAAAAGAACACGAAATCGGATTATGGTTAAGATATTTAATGAAACCAGTAACTAGTAAATCTATTTTGAGAGATTGCCTTTTTTAAAACGCAGTTACTTTTAAAAAGCGTAAAATTAAACCTTTAATTTATGAGAAATAAAAACTTTAAAGGGACAGTATATCGCGAGGCTTTACTTTAAAAAAAGAAACACACTCAGACCTAGTCACGCAATGCACACAACAGTAAACACAGGCGATGAAAACAACTTGGACTTGATTGCATCAGCCATCCCACTCTTGAAACCGATTCATTTAAAATACAAATTAGGGCCTAATTTTAATTTAATTATACCTAGTAAATAAATAAAAAATACCTTTGTTAAATAACAATTCTTGTTAGTTAATGATCACAAAATAGATTGAGACGTACCGATATAAAATAATGTTGCATAAAAAAAAACATGTCCTTAGCGTGAAGACGTGTTCTTCCTTTGCTGTAATCAGCGCAGTGACGGTGTCTGGGTACAATTCGCGCTAGCAGGGGCACTACAACGCGCGCTACCAAGGGGGCACAATTCGCGCTACCAGTACATGTGAACTACATCAGAGATACTGTAACCAGTGTTTCTTCCAGACTTTTTTTTTCCGCCGGGGGGGGGGGGGGGGGGGGGGGGGGGACGGGGGGGGGACGACACTAAAAGTATATGTTTTCTAGATAAATTTCATTTCGTTCGGGGGGGGGGGGGGAGTGTAGACTTTCTTCGGCTATACCACCCCCCTCTTCCCCCCCCCCCCTCGAAGAGATGCCTTGAAGAAACACTGTACGTGCATAATGCTGAAAATACTGGAGTTGGAACTTCACAGAGACAATGGCTCAAGAACTTCGTTTATGTATTAATTTTTTTTTTGTTATAGAATGTGTGTGTGTGTGGGAGGGGGGGGGGCAGTGTTTCTTCCAGAGTTTATTCTCCGTGCGGGCACTTGAAATTTTCGGTGGAAGGGGGGGGGGCAATTTTAAAAGTATATATTTCTATATAAATTCCATTTCGTTCGGGGAAGAGATGCCTGGAAGAAACACGGGGGAGGGGGGGGGGGGATATTATTATTATTTACAAAATTATGTTTAAAAATAAGGCGTGAGCGGAAAGTGATTTAAAAAATCTTTTTCCGTGACCTTGAACTGATGAGCAAGAATGCATTGTTCAATGCTGGACGGATACAGGGGTCGCGACCTAATGGGGGTTCGTTGTCCAATCAGTACCTACTTCTAGATAAAAAGGTCACACCATCATGGCGGTGGTGATCCAATGATTGTTTACATTTGGAGAAAGGGGTCACTTATTAACGGGGTTCAACCATATGTACATTTGGAGAAAGGGGTCACTTATTAACGGGGTTCAACCATATGCATATTTGGAGAAAGGGGTCACTTATTAACGGGGTTCAACCATATGTACATTTGGAGAAAGGGCTCACTTATTAACGGGGTTCAACCATATGCATATTTGGAGAAAGGGGTCACTTATTAACGGGGTTCAACCATATGTACATTTGGAGAAAGGGGTCACTTATTAACGGGGCTCAACCATATGTACATTTGGAGAAAGGGGTCACTTATTAACGGGGTTCAACCATATGTACATTTGGAGAAAGGGGTCACTTATTAACGGGGTTCAACCATATGTACATTTGGAGAAAGGGGTCACTTATTAACGGGGTTCAACCATATGTACATTTGGAGAAAGGGATCATATTTTAATATAGTTTAATCATGGCATACGTTAGGAGAAAGGGGGTCACACATTAACAGTGTTTATTATCCAATCATTTTCTCCAAAAAAAAGTGTATTGATATAGAATCTAGATTCTAGATTTGCGTGGAACTTTAAAGTTAAAGATCTGAGAATCTTGTCATCTAAAAATAGCTCCCCCCTCGTCTGCCATCTTGCCGCACATGTAAACAGCACATGTTTTGGTCAAACACATCATAAATCGTCATTACAAGCGTTACAGATGGTTAAATAATTTGCCCCTCAAAGAAAAGCTTTTTTTCTCGGTATTTTGATTCTGTTTATGTTATGTAAACTAGCATTATGCGGACGTACGTCTACTATCTAGATTAGATCTACATATGTAAAAGATAGCAGATTATGACGGAGTGGGAGAGGGGGGGGGGGGACTCTCATGTATGTTTCTTCTGTTCAAAGTAACTATTATTGATCTTAATAGTTTTTTTTTATGTGGCAGGCACATATTGAGATACTGCTGTTTATGTTAAGACTCTTAAGGGTGACGATTTTCTAGGTTGACCTCAAATTAAATATATTTTTTTTTCTAAATGGAATTTCGATCTAAATATAGATCTAGAAGTAGTTGTTTTTGTTTTAAATTAAAAAAAAACCAGTAATAATTTTAATAAGGTTGAGATTAGAGGCTTTAAGTTAATGTTGATCTAGAACTTATAAAGATATTTTTTTTTTAAATGGAAACTTGACAGGGATATTTACT